TTCAATTTTAGTGAATAACCCCCAAAGTATGATGATCCCAAAGTTAAAGCGGAGTTCCAGCTGAAAAAAAAAAGTCAGCCGCTACAAAAATTGTAGCTGCTGACTTTTAAAATACACTTACCTGTCCCCCGGTCCAGCGGTGTCCTCACCACCGCTGGTTTCACTGGCCATCTTCTCTCCCTGTCGCCGGCATCTTTAGTGTGGGCACCCAGATGTGACATCTTGCGGCTTCACAGCTGGGTGCCCACTGAGCATACGCAAGAAGCGCTTTTTTGTGAATGGCCCCGTAGTCTTTTGGGACCTGTCACGTGTAATTTTTGTTTCAATATAGATTCTCAGTTTAGTTTTCTTAGAGTCCCATTGGGACTTTTTTCTTTCTTCTTCCTATCACGAATTAATACATCACTAGTACTTCATAGTTATGTTCACCATGGATCCCTTGAGTGGATCATTTCACTGTAATTTTGTTGTGTGAGTGATTGTATACTGTATTTTGTTTCACTGTATGTTCACTGGTGGCGTACTTAAGTCACGTCTTTTTTTTGGTGGATTTTAGTCATTAGACCATGCTTGGATGATTTATATCAGTTTGTGTGCATTCTATTCTATTCACAGAGTTCTTTTATATTGGTTATGCTACAATATTTATTTGTATTCATCTGTATATCTGTAGACTATTGAGTTAAGCTAGTGTAGGAAGTAGTGTAGAACTGGGGTAGTACTGCACCAATTTACTTCTTAATTTATACATTTTCCATTTGGCATATGGATGGGTGTTAGCAGCCCCCCACCTGCTATTAGTTTATTGTGAGTAGTGCAGGAGACCCTTATTGATTAATAAGCCTATCGACATCTAATCTGAAATACATATGATGTAGTTGCACTTCAACTATAATTAAAGTGATTGTAAAGGTTCTTTTTTTCTAAATACCAAACATGTTATACTTACCTGTTCTGTGTAATGGTTTTGCACAGATCTGCCCCATTCCTCCTCTTCTGCGGTCCACTACAGGCACTTTGGGCTCCTCCTCTTCTCTGTGTGCCATCATAGAAATCCGCTTCCTAAGGTAGCACATGTGTGGGCTTGATCCCAAACTGCACTGTGTGTCTCTATTGACACACACAGTGCAGCTCAGCTTCACCGCCCTGCTCCCTCGTCATCACATTTGACTGACAGCAGCATGAGCCAATGGTTTCACTGAGTTCCCACTGAGGAAAGAGAGAGTGAGCAGAGCCACTACTCTTGGGCACTGGGTTCCCACTAAGGAAAGCGAGCAGAGCCACTACTCTTGGTCACTTAGTTCCCACTGAGGAAAGAGAGAGCAGAGCCACTACTCTTGGGCACTGAGTTCCCACTGAGGAAAGAGAGCAGAGCCACTACTCCTGGGCACTGAGTTCCCACTGAGGAAAGAGAGCAGATCCACTACTCTTGGGCACTGAGTTCCCACTGAGGAAAGAGAGCAGATCCACTACTCTTGGGCACTGAGTTCCCACTGAGGAAAGAGAGCAGAGCCACTACTCCTGGGCACTGAGTTCCCACTAAGTAAAGAGAGCAGAACCACTACTCTTGGGCACTGAGTTCCCACTGAGGAAAGAGAGCAGAACCACTACTCTTGGGCACTGAGTTCCCACTGAGGAAAGAGAGCAGAGCCACTACTCGTGGGCACTGAGTTCCCACTAAGTAAAGAGAGCAGAGCCACTACTCTTGGGCACTGAGTTCCCACTGAAGAAAGAGAGCAGAGCCACTACTCTTGGGCACTGAGTTCCCACTGAGGAAAGAGAGCAGAGCCACTACTCCTGGGCACTGAGTTCCCACTGAGGAAAGAGAGCAGAGCCACTACTCCTGGGCACTGAGTTCCCACTGAGGAAAAGAGAGCAGAGCCACTACTCTTGGGCACTGAGTTCCCACTGAGGAAAGAGAGCAGATCCACTACTCTTGGGCACTGAGTTCCCACTGAGGAAAGAGAGCAGAGCCACTACTCCTGGGCACTGAGTTCCCACTAAGTAAAGAGAGCAGAACCACTACTCTTGGGCACTGAGTTCCCACTGAGGAAAGAGAGCAGAACCACTACTCTTGGGCACTGAGTTCCCACTGAGGAAAGAGAGCAGAGCCACTACTCGTGGGCACTGAGTTCCCACTAAGTAAAGAGAGCAGAGCCACTACTCTTGGGCACTGAGTTCCCACTGAAGAAAGAGAGCAGAGCCACTACTCTTGGGCACTGAGTTCCCACTGAGGAAAGAGAGCAGAGCCACTACTCCTGGGCACTGAGTTCCCACTGAGGAAAGAGAGCAGAGCCACTACTCCTGGGCACTGAGTTCCCACTGAGGAAAGAGAGCAGAGCCACTACTCCTGGGCACTGAGTTCCCACTGAGGAAAGAGAGCAGAGCCACTACTCCTGGGCACTGAGTTCCCACTAAGTAAAGAGAGCAGAACCACTACTCTTGGGCACTGAGTTCCCACTGAGGAAAGAGAGCAGAACCACTACTCTTGGGCACTGAGTTCCCACTGAGGAAAGAGAGCAGAGCCACTACTCGTGGGCACTGAGTTCCCACTAAGTAAAGAGAGCAGAGCCACTACTCTTGGGCACTGAGTTCCCACTGAAGAAAGAGAGCAGAGCCACTACTCTTGGGCACTGAGTTCCCACTGAGGAAAGAGAGCAGAGCCACTACTCCTGGGCACTGAGTTCCCACTGAGGAAAGAGAGCAGAGCCACTACTCCTGGGCACTGAGTTCCCACTGAGGAAAGAGAGCAGAGCCACTACTCCTGGGCACTGAGTTCCCACTGAGGAAAGAGAGCAGAGCCACTACTCGTGGGCACTGAGTTCCCACTGAGGAAAGAGAGAAAGCAGAGCCACTACTCTTGGGCACATCGCTGGATTGAGATCAGACTCAGGTAAGTATTTAGGGGGGGGGGGGGGGGCTGCACATGAAAGGTGTTTTACCTCAATGCAGAGAATGCCTTTTAAAAACCATTTTTTTCCTCCTTTTGTAAGCAGAAGCGCTGCAACTTGAAAAATTAAAAATTGCTGCTTTTGCTGCAAAGCTCACCTTCTCAATGGTGCTGTCCCCCACAGCAATCCAGTGCCAGTCCTCTTCTAGATTGAAACACCCTAGTTCCTGTGAGCCCAGGGTGTCATGGACCTACCCCTCTGGGGGCTTGTCAGCACTGCTCTTTGGGCACGCAGTACAGTAATGCAGAGAACGGTACTGATGTCACCAGTCAGTGATAATCTGCATAACTGAGAACTGTTCAGCAGCAAAGAGGAGGTGGAGAGGCTGTTTTGTGTCACTCGACCAGCCAAAGAACTGAAAAAGAGAACTATAGGAAAAGTTATCAAAACATACAGCCAGTTGGCCTCCAGGTAGAAAAAGGGGAAGGACTTGGTGGCAATGGGTTGCGTTGGAGTTAGGCTTTTTCTTTAATTTGACTTTTATTTAGGTAACACAGATAAGTTGCTTCTAACAGTCAGAAACACCCATCAACATTGGCATGAAAATAACATTCTTAATGAGGGGTGGACATTTTATACAAAGGAAAGGCCATCACTAATGAATTGGAAGAAAAAAGATGTAGGGTAGGGGGTGTCAAACTGAATTTCATTGCAGGCCCCATCAGCATTATGGTTGTAAGACTAGATGTTCAGAGCACTCCACTCCTCCTTACATCAGAAGTCAAGAGTCCCAACCTTCCCTTATCACAGTGTGCCCCCCTTACCTTGCGCTGCTCTTGGGAAAAAGCTGGGGCAGAGCTGGGAAGCAGAAAGTGCAGGGTCTGGAGGAGCACATGAGGAGGGCTGGAATCTGCTTAATGCTGGGGGAGGCGGAAATGGGGGGTGTAACGGAACCGGACTGAGATTGCACTAGGGTATTTCCATTAGCCTCCTGCTTCCCTGTCCGAACACAGATCCACGGACACCACCGCTGACCATACAAGACGAAACAGCACCAGACTTGTATTAAAACAGTAAATGGACTGCTTTATTTTAACACAGACACAAGATATATACATTCAAGGGAACAACCCCCCCCCCTCCCTGCATAAGGACACAGGGTGGGGCAAACCAAATCTAGCAACAAGAGACATCAGCAGACACCCCCCCCACCAAGCCAATACACAAAACACATACATCCCATAATAGTTTTCTCCCAAGCAAGACACAATAGAACAATGGGAGCACATGGCAGTAAACAATGAACAACCCCCACACCCCACCTATACATGTTTACACAATATTAGGACATTTCACCCTGTGCCCCTAACATGCACAGGGTGACTTACACATAATAGGGATATGGGGAGCTGAGACAGGGGTCTCCCCACCTCTCCAAAGGGGGCTGTGTTCCATGGGCCCTCCACCCAAAGTGACTCCCATCACAGGGGGTATAGCAGCTGCACAGAGAGGTGCAGTATCTGTAGGAGGAGGTCTGTCCTCCTCTCTGCTGCCTAAATGCTGAGATGGGGGAGGGCAGAGACAAGCCTCTCCATGGCTGCACAGACAAGCGCAGGATCTGGCGGAGGAGTTCTGTCGTCCTATCTGCTACCGACTGCTCAGACAAGGTGGGGGTGGAGATGAGGGGGTGCCGCATCTGCAGGAGAGGTGTGCGGATCACTTGAAATGGCCTGGCAGGCTGGATTCGGCCTACGGGCCTTGTGTTTGACACGTGATGTGGAGGACTGTATGTTAAGACAAAGTTCTTCCCATTGCAATACCAACAAAGAGGAGATAAATCTAAAATAAGAGGATGAGGAAGAAGGGAAACAGGTTGGGTGGTTTGAGTAGGATACTAACCTAGTAGAACATAATAGGGAGGGGTCTCTGCAGCAGAGCAATGAATGCAATGTCTAGCATAGGCAGTTCAACTTGCAAAAGCCTATGTGCGGTCAAAAAAACTATTTGTTGGGAATGGTCTTTAATAGTCCTGTACTATTGGAATTTCCATGTGAAAATCCTATTGTCTTGTGTCTGTTCCACGGCTTGTCTCCTTTCTTGTTCCTGCAGGTTTTGGTGCCTTGTAAGGGGAGTATAACGAACAGTTCCTTCTCCAGCAGCTACTTTGAGTCCTTCATTCTTAAACCCAACGAAGGAGCCTTTCTGACTGAGGATGGAAAGGTGAGGACATCTTACAAATTTTGCTGGTAGTTGTTACAATGGTTTTCCAGATCTCTTCTCTGATTCTGGACCTTTACCTATGTTGTTAGTGATGCAGCACCTTCGGACAATGCGAATGATAAACAAGCGTTTTGACACTCCTTCAAGTTCTCAGGTTTTATTGCCTTTTTAGATGATTATCTGCTTGGGTTTTATACCACAATTCAGATGCATACTAGAGATTAATTGATCCCCTTGAAAATTGGGATGTTGGATTATGATCCTCTGTGTTGGGCAGGGACTGATGGGAATGGTTGAAGTTGAACCCGGGCACAAAAAGTTTTTTATTTAAATATATTCCTTGCTTACCAAAAAGGATATAAATCCACTTTGTGTTCACCAAATGCCTTTATATTATCCAGATATTCCATTGCAAAAGTAGCAGTTACATATTCAATGTGCTGTGTATAGCTTGTGCAGAAAGCAGAGATGTAGGCGGGGCCCAGCAGACTCCGCCCGCTACAGGCTGCCTGCGGAAAACCACAGGAGGAGGTGGAGACGAGACCAGTCATCCTGTACAAGGAGAGAGAGCAGCAGTGAGCGGTCTTTATTACAGGAAGGGGCGGAGACAAGACCAGTCACCCTGCACAAGGAGAGAGAGCAGCAGTGAGTGATCTTTATTACAGGAGGGGGCGGAGACAAGACCAGTCACCCCACACAAGGAGAGAGAGCAGCAGTGAGCGGTCTTTATTACAGGAAGGGGTGGAGACAAGCCCAGTCACCCCGCACAAAGAGAGAGCAGCAGTGAGTGGTCTTTATTACAGGAGGGGGCGGAGACAAGACCAGTAACCCTGCACAAGGAGAGAGAGCAGCAGTGAGTGGTCTTTATTACAGGAAGGGGCGGAGAGAAGACCAGTCACCCCGCACAAGGACAGAGAGCAGCAGTGAGTGGTCTTTATTACAGGAAGTCTCACACTGGATGACTGCACAGATCTGGAAGAAATACACAAAGCTCACCGAGATTCAAGGAAGAAGGCACATGACTCTGTACACATGACTCTTGTATTTAGACAATATCTGCTATTCCCGGAGTTCAGGTTTAAAGCTCCCCGTAAGCATATGACTGTGTACATGGTCTTTTGTTTTCCTTAGAACCGATCAAGTCAGTCAGAATGCTAAAGAAGCTTGAAGCAGCTTTGAGGGAGAACAAATGCACCCCTGAAGGAGTATAAATGGAACGCCAAACTGATCTGAAAAGCAAGGAAATACGAGGTGTGACCATTTTATTCCTGGAATGGACTCTAGAAGAATGCTTGTGCAGGAGCATTGTTGTGGAGAATCCACTTTTCAGGCCAGGGTTCCAGTCTTTTCTCCTGATCAGATTCAGATAACCTTTTCAGAATTTCCAAGTAACAATGCTGGTTGACCGTTGTACCATGTTCTGTGAACTCATAAAGAACTATTAAAAAAAAAAAACACACCAGCATGAGTGTACGACGGTTTGCACTCTGTCCACATTTGAATCCATCCTTTGCATTTCTGGCTGCCCACTTCTTGCATCATCATGAACATCTTCCTTCTCCTCCTTAAACTGCTAATTCCATTCAAAAACACTTGATTTCTTCATAGAAAAACAGTAAGCACCTGCCTGGAGTTTTCATGTTTTCCCTGTGGCTGTGTGGGTTTCCTGCACACACTCCAAAGACATGCTGGTAGGTTAACTGGCTCCTGTCTAAATTGTCCCTAGTATGTGTATGTATGAATGTGAGTTAGAGACCTTAGATTGTACACCCCTTGAGGGTTAGGGACTGATGTGAATGTACAATATATATATATAGGGCAGCACAGTGGCTAAATGGTTAGCACTTCCACCTGGCAGTACTAGGGTCGCTGGTTCAAATCCCGACGACTGCACCACCTGCCTGGAGTTTGCATGTTCTCCCTGTGCCTGCGTGGGTTTCCTCTGGGTACTCCGGTTTCCTCCCACTCTCCAAAGACATGGAGACAGACAATAAATAAGTCTATTGTAACAGCTAAAGTTTCATTCGAACTTTTGCCAATTTTCAAGCAAAATTTGATGTCAATTCACTGCTCCAGATTCCTGTCGACCATTTTCCTTCAACAGCGTAACGCACACACGTTTTATTTCTTCTTCTATTCCGTAAAGACTGTGTCACCTGGTCAGCGACCCAGGCGAGGGCTCATTAGAACATGTCGGAACATGCTTGAGTGTGAATGGCTGTGGGACTCCCCACCATAGGGCTGCGCAGGAATTGTCACGCTTCGTACCTCTGAAATGCATCTCATCCACATATGATGGCTTGACGACTTACTGTTGTAATGTAGGCTTACTCTTGTGCAATTTTCACTTGCCAGAGGCACTTCCCGCCCTAGGGTGACAACACTCGTTAGCAGTGTTGTCACAGTAGACGTGTTCATGCACTGTGTGTCTGCATGTTTGGCAAAGCTGCCTCTTCTTCTTCCTCTTCCTCTTCCTCCTTCCTTCCTCCTCCCTCCCTCTTCTTTCTTCCTTCCTCTTCTTTCTTCCTTCCTCTTCTTTCTTCCTTCCTCTTCTTTCTTCCTTCCTCTTCTTTCTTCCTTCCTCTTCTTTCTTCCTTCCTCTTCTTTCTTCCTTCCTCTTCTTTCTTCCTTCCTCTTCTTTCTTCCTTCCTCTTCTTTCTTCCTTCCTCTTCTTTCTTCCTTCCTCTTCTTTCTTCCTTCCTCTTCTTTCTTCCTTCCTCTTTTTTCTTCCTTCCTCTTTTTTTTCTTCCTTCCTCTTTTCTTTCTTCCTTCCTCTCCTTTCTTCCTTCCTCTCCTTTCTTCTCCTCCTTCCTTTTTTTTTTTTTTATTCTTTAGTGGAACTAAAGTCCACTTTGTAAGTTGTACCTGCTGCAGGCAAGCCTATAATAAGGCTTGCCTGTAGGTACTGTGAATATCTCCTAAACTTGCACTGTTTACATAGAAACATAGAAAAGTGACGGCAGAGTGTCTGCCCATTTTTTTTTTTTTTTCTTCTTAAAGGAGATATTCACACAGCATGCAGCCGATGTTTCGCTCTGAAGGGATGGCACAGTGTCAGACCTTCAGAGCGCTGTATCACAGCCGAGGGTTCCCTTGCATGCGCGGGAGTGACATCATCATGGCTACGGCCATTCATACTGCCAGATCCCGTGAACCCAGAAGGAAGACTGGGTGAAGATTGCAGCTCTGGAGAGCCGTGACAGTGCGCCGCTAGGGTGCTCAGTGTACAGGTAAGTCTGTGATAATGTACTAGTGTGCTGTGCATACAGGTACATTATGACCTAACCCTGCAGGGGGCCCATTTTTTTTTTTCTTTTTTCAGGCAGTTTACTACCACTTTAATTAACTATTACTATCTTCAAATAAAAGTCCCACTTACTATATCTCATATACAAATGCAGAATCCGTTGAATTCAGCAGCTGGGATTTTCGTGGCACTGAAATCCAGAAATAACTTTGAAGCCTTTCTTGTGTTTTGCAGGAGATTGTTATTCAGGGCACCCAGGTTAAGCTGGGCACCGGTTTTGCCTTCTCTCTCTCCATACCCATTCTGTTTGAGGAGACCTTCTACAATGATAAGGAGGAGAGCTTCAGCGTCCTGTGTATTGCCCGGTCACTAGAAAAAGAGGAGAATCCAGGTAATTATTTCTTCCACTTTCCCAATAAGATGTGTCTAGATTGTCTTCCTACAACTAATAAAGCACAACCTGATAATATGGCATTGCTAAACCTCTGTATTGCTGAGCTTTCTAATGCTGGGTACACACAGGTAGCTTTTTTGTTCAACCCACTGGGCTGAGCAAAAAACAAACAGGACAGATAGCTGTACCAACACAAGTGATGTTGGTGTGGCGATCTCTCCCCACCCCTGTGCATTGGTTATCTGACAGGGGAACTTAATAAATCAAGTGCAACCAGCCTGCCCATATGTTGATCGAAATTTGGCTGGTCCCTACTGAACCGGCCGAATTGTGATCCATGTATGGCTAGCTTAAAGGATAATTTCACATTTTGGACAAAAATAATAAATGCAAATTTTTTTGCAGGTAAAAAAATGCGCGTTTTATTATTTTTGTCTAGAGGAGCCTGGAAAGCATTGCACCAGTGATCAGTAGATTGCTGGTGCCATGCAAGTCTCCTGCAGACCTGTCAGAATATCTGCTTGCCGTACCGGATGTATGAGCAAGCAGATATTCTGACAGGAAGCTGTAATCAACCACAATGGCCCTCCACAGTGCCGTGGTAGTTCATTGCAAGCTACAAGCCGACAGGCGCTAAGGCTGTCGGGACTTGTAGTTCATTCACGGAAGTCCGTGAATGAATGATGCGGACGTGTGGGCGGAGCCCCACACGTCCGTGCTGTTTCCAAATTTGACAGATAGTACGGGAGAAGTCTCCCCGTACTACCGTGTTTCCCCGAAAATAAGACCGTGTCTTATATTAATTGTAGGTGAAAAAAATGCACTAGGGCTTATTTTCAGGTAGGTCTTATTTTTATTGACGTCTCCACAAGCTCCACAAACAGGTAAGTTTTTAAAGCCACCCCCCCCTCTCTCTCTGCCTTCTCTCTCTTTACGCTCTTTCCCCCCCACCTCTCTCTCTCCCTCCTACCTACTACATGAAGCTGCAGTGCTGTCACCAGGGTCGGGGGGGATTACATACTTACCTGCTGCATACACTGCCCACCCCTCCAGCACTCCGACTTCAGCCCCCGTGGCAGGGATGTGGACCCGCCCCTCTGCTGAAACTCCGAGGAGGAGAGGTGTCCGAAGTGCCTGCCTCACTGGTCTGTCCCCTCAATGCCTGCTTATTTCAGAAGCGGCACATACTGGGACGGACTGAGCCTCTCATGGGGCCCTGCAGTGACCCCGGCTCCTCGGGCAGTGCCGGAATGGTCAGTCCGCCCCTGGTGGAGGTAGGTCATATTTTCGGGGGAGGGCTTATATTAGCAGTACATCAAAAAGTACCGCTAGGTCTTACTTTCGGGGAAACACGGGATCTGTCAGAGGAAGTGGGTGGCTGCAGCTATGGGAACATGTTCCATCCTAAAAATGTGTGGAACATGTAACATCTTTTTTTTGTGATGTGCCTTTGATTTTTTTCTTTTGTGAGCATACTACTTTTATTCAATAAATCTAATTTTTAGAAGGTAATGCACTAGGCCCATGTGCCCTCTGTTTCTCTGCACACTGGGGGCCAAATGTAGCTGCATGGGGAAAGGTGAGTACCTCCTAGATTGTAAGCTCCCAGGATCGGGGCCCTCCTATCGCTCTTGTATTGAACTGTATTGTTGCTGTAATTTCTCCCGTTATATTGTAAAGTGCTGAGCAAACTGTTGGCGCTCTATAAATCCTGTATAATAATAATAATACATGCTGCTGGGGAGGGACAAGTTCAGCGACCCTTTAAGTTTTGCTCTGCATGGGCCATGCATCTTTGCTAGCAGCTTGCAGTCTTGAAGTTGTTTTTTGTACTGTATAGCACAGGAAGTAGAATGAGCAGACATGCCCAAATTCATGGCTCCTGATCAGGGTGGATAAAAATCAATGATTTAAAAAAAAAAAATCAAAAAAATCTGATTTTTTTTTTTTTATTTAAATCGGATTTTTTTTTAAATAAAATGCTTTTTGAGGAAAATATATTACCATCCAAAGGTTATTCCATCATGAAATAAAGATTAGTTTAATTATGTAGAATAAGGCTGTATATGTTTAATTGTTTTGGTAAATAAATTCCATGAATCCATTCACAATGTCATGCTCTTCCAGAGGTTTTTGTAAGATTATTGGGCAGTTTCTCTGCCTACAAGATATTATCACAGATGCTCGGTTTACTTTTGCAGTTATCAAAACTGAATTTGACTCAGCGGAGATCACATCCCTCTTCTTCACAGCAAAAATGTTATAACATGAACAGAGTTAAGAAAAAGACCTTCATCCTAACTTCTACAAACCTATGAATACAGAATCAACCCCTTCACTGCTAAGTTTCAAGAAGTTCAGTGAATAGAATAGAAACAATATTTTTCTGATTGTTTGGAGTGGAATAGATCTGCACAAGAAGAAAGTGAAACTAAGTGTGAGGAGGAAGGGGCTGACAGTCTACGTTTCTTAAAATATATATATTTTGTTTTGCCAAATTAGTTAAACATGGATGTTTGTTTAAGCAAATAACATATGCTGGAATGTTGTTTCAGTTGAATAAATCTATTTAAATTGTTATTATTAAGGTAATGATTATTTTTCTCCTTCCTAAGTACAACAGAAAAGTTGTCCAAATATGAATGATTAAACTGGGGATAAAAAAAACTAATATGAAAAGTTGTTATTCTAAAAATCTTCATCTACTTGTATATTAAAGTTATACCAGCAAGAATTAGTCTTCATGTAGAAAACTAGGATTTAAATCAAGCCTTACTGACTAGTGATTTAAATCAGTTTGATTTAAATCAAATCCACCCTGCTCCTGATGAAGATAAATCCGGGCATTGAGTCTCTATCCTGGGACTAACTTGTCACACGAGGCAGGGAATTATAGCTTCTATCAGAGGTTAAGTACGTTAGTATTTTGTAATGGCTCATCTAGCGAAAATGTTATTCACTAGGTGTAGTTTGGCCTTAGGTTTATCATAGACACATGTAAGGAAGGAGAGGGGCAAGGATGGTTGTCTCATGGAGGAAATGGATATTTGTCATGTATTGTTAAAAGTATATCCATCCGAGTCTCGTATTGTTTGGAAACATAAAATACAAATATGTGCAGTATATGTGAGTATTGTAAAGATTGTTGCTGCCTCACTGCAACAGTATCCAGACTTACTAAGACTTTAATTGTACTTTTTAATTATTTCAGAACAACCTTCCACTGCACCGTCCAATACCTGCACTTTAAAAAACATTGAAGACGTGAAGGAGTTCCTGGGGAAACACGTAGAACGATTTGACAAAAATATCACCTCATTCCGCAGCGCATTTAAAGTCCATGAAAGGAAGAGCCTACGACATTATATTGTAAGTCCTCCTATGCAAAGTGTATGTAGCAGCGGTGTAGTGAGGGTTCTGCCTCCTCACACATGACCATAGTCTGTGCTATGGAAGTATCACCCACATTCTCCCCCAGTGCCTGAAACATTTGTAGGGTTTATTTACTAAAACTGGAGAGTGCAAAATCTGGTGCATCTGTGCATGGTAGCCAGTCAGCTTCTAATGTCAGCTTAGTAAATGAACCCCTTGACGCTGAGCGCACGCAAAATATTATTATTATTATTTATTTCAGGTACTTATATAGCTCTGTCAATTTCCGCAGCGCTTTACATATATATTGTACATTCACATCAGTCCCTAACCCTCAAGAGGTGTACAATCTAAAGTCCCTAACTCACATTCATACATACACATACTAGGGGCCAATTTAGACAGGATCCAATTAACCTACCAGCATGTCTTTGGAATGTGGGAGGAAACCTGAGTACCTGGAGGAAACCCACGCAGGCACAGGGAGAACATGCAAACTTCAGGCAGCTGGTGCCGTGGTTGGGATTCAAACCAACGACCCTAGTACTGCCAGGTGGAAGTGCTAACCATTTAGCCACTGTGCTGCCCAAATATGCGGCCTCTTGGTGTCTGGACCTTGATGCTGAGCAGTTGCATATTTGCGTGCCATTAAAAAAATACATATGTGCTGAGAGCGCAAATTTTTTCTGCACAGAACTGTACTGGAATATAGCAAACTGTATCAAAATTGCACTGGAACAGAGTGTGTTGTGAACTGTTAGCAAAAACGTATCTGGAGTGCTTCCGGAGTGCGTTTTTGTAGTGTGCAATGTACTTCAGGAGTCTCCCCAGGACCTCTGATACCTCAAGGTGGGCTTTTACATGCATTTCAACTGTTTGCCAGCTCTAATAGCTTCTTGCCACCCACATAATGCATGTGTGCAATGGCAAAGAGGTTGGATTTGAATCCCACACACCGAACATATGCGCCCATTGGTAGTTAAGGTTTCTGTACTGACAGCACACTCACTCTGTGCTTCCAGCAAAGTGACGAGCTATCATGGATAGCTCCTGGTCTCTAACAATAATCGAAAGCTGGTCCCACTATCCATGTGACGGTGATGATCGGGTAGTCCTTTGAGCCTCCCGGGCATAAAGACCATGTTTAAAGGGATGTCATGGTTGGGAAAGGAGGGGATAATTTGTGTGTGTGTGTGTGTGTGTGTGTGTGTGTGTATATGTGTCATTGTATCACGACTTGGCTACTGTAACTCCCTCCTCGCCGGCCTACCTGAACACAGGCTATCCCCGCTTCAGTCTATCCTGAATTCTGGGGCCAGACTCATTGACCTTACTAACCGCTCCGTATCTGCCACCCCCCTCTGCCAATCCCTAAACTGGCTTCCGATTGCCCAACGCATAAAATTCAAATTATTAACATTGACGTACAAAGCTGTTCATAACACAGCCCCAAACTACATCACTGACCTGATATCCATCTACCACCCAAAACGCACTCTCCGCTCCTCACAAGACCTCCTACTCTCTAGTTCCCTGGTCTCCTCCTCCCATGCCCGTCTCCAGGACTTCTCCAGGGCTTCCCCCATCCTCTGGAACTCACTACCCCAATCCATCAGACTGTCACCTACCCTCCTCACCTTTAGGCGCACCCTGAAAACCAATCTCTTCAAAGAAGCCTACCCCGCCCTCACCTAATTGCCCATCTCCTCCGCTCTTCCCACCACTCCATCACCTACAGCTATTTCCTCCTGTACCACTATCCCCTCCCTCCTAGATTGTAAGCTCCAAGGAGCAGGGCCCTCGAACCCCTCGTGTATTGAATTGTATTGTTACTGTACGTTCTCGTGTACTGTCTCCCATTATAATGTACAGCGCTGAGCGAACTGTTGGCGCTATATAAATCCTGTATAATAATAATAGTAATAACTGTGTGTGTGTATATGTATATATCTTGATTGTATGTTTGTTTCCTTCAGGACTCAGTTAATGCTCTTTACACAAAATGCCTGCAGCATTTGCTCCGAGACTCGCACTTGGTAAGTAATCCTGCTTCCAGAGTATAGATTCCTATATTCCCCACATCCAGTCGGTGGACTTCAAGTGTGAAATTTGTTGTCAACAAAATCCTTTAGAAATCTGCTGGTGTTTTTTGACCTGGAAATGTTATGTTGTGGGAAATCTCTATTTTTCAGTTCATCCTCCTTGGCATCCTTAAGTGGGAGACTGTTTATCCCTATAAATTGACACAAAAGGGGATATTTACTAAAACTGGATCCCTCGGAATCTGGTGCAGTTGTGCATGGTAGCCAATCAGCTTCTAACTTCAGCTTGTACAATGAAGCTTTGACGATCAAAGCTGAAAACTGATTGATTTCTATGCAGAGTCTGCACAGTCCAGTTTTAGTAAATCCCCCCATTTTTTACTTTTTGCTATAAAATATATCCAGTAAAAGAAAATTTAAAAAAATCAAATGTCGTCATAAATTTAGGCCAAATGTATTCTGCTACATGTCTTTCCTCAGAAAAGTCCCAGTACATGTAAATTAATTGGCTTGCGTGAAAATTATAGTGTCTACAAATGGCAGTATATATACTGGAATTTTTTTTTTCTTTTTAATGCTAGTAATAGCGGCGATCAACGACTTATAGCGAGACTGCGGCGTCCATTCTGAAACTGGGGGAAAACTGACTGTCGCTGACATCCCCAGTGACACTAATACAGTGATCGGTGCTAATAAAAAGCACTGACACTGTACTAATGGCACTGGGCAGAAAGGGGTTAACATCTGGGGCGATCAAAGGGTTAACTGTGTACTGTGTGTGTTTTAGTATGGAGGCATGCAGTTTTGTATTGCTCTGCTATGATCTTTTACCAATCAGCTTATGATCTTATTGTTATTTATTTCAGGTACTTATATAGCGCTGTCAATTTACACAGTGCTTTACATATATATTGTACATTCACATCAGTCCCTAACCCTCAAGGGGTGTACAATCTAAGGTCCCTAACTCACATTCATACATACACATACTAGGGCCAATTTGGACAGGATCCAATTAACCTACCAGCATGTCCTTGGAGTGTGGGAGGAAACCGGAGTACCCGGAGGAAACCCATGCAGGCACAGGGAGAGCATGCAAACTCCAGGCAGGTGGTGCTGTGGTTGGGATTCGAACCAAGGATCCTAGTACTGCCAGGCGGAAGTGCTAACCATTTAGCCACTGTGCTGCCCATAAGAACTGTCCACCACTGGTAGCTGGTATTGGGAATTTTTAGAGGTCTGGTCTGTCTTCTTTGGTTTCTGTGAGAGGAAATTGGGGTTCAAGAGAGAAAAATGTTTGATTCATCTTAGCAAGTCATAATTTGAACAAGTATAATATATGGAAGTATGATTCTCTTCTAATAACCATCACTGTGTTCTGCAGCGGTCTATTGCCAAGCAAGAGGGTCAGATGAATTTGATGAAGCAAGCAGTAGAGGTAAGGCGATTACCAGTGCACCTGCAATGACCATTTTTCTTTCCCTTGTTATGGTTGGTCACCTTAACCTTTTCAGATACCAATAGCAATGCAGTCAATCTAATGCAAGTTTGATTATGTGAAGTCTTTTTTGATAACTAGTGTGGGTGACTTCTCAATCTTTTTATCCCTGTAGATGTATGTACATCATGGAATTTATGATCTGATCTTCAAACAAGTGGGGACCATTGAGGCAAGTGAGGTACGGTTCTTGGAAAGGGAGTAGTCAAGTAAATCATTGATTTTATGTCAATATTATTTTAGCTTTTTTCTTTCTTTCTTTTTTTAACTCTTGTTTTATGTCTGCCTTCTCTTCTCTGCTCTGTTCCTTTTTCTTTTCTTATTTTCTTTTTTCTTTTTTTTTTTTCTTTTGTTCTCTCCTCTTGTTTCCTTTCTTCTTTTGCCTCCTCTTTTCTCTTCTTGTTGTCTCTTTACTTTTCTTCTTCAGTTCTCTGCTGTCTTCTCTCCTCTCATCTCATCTCTCTCTATCTTTTTTTATTTCTGTAAGTGCTTTGAAGCAGTAGAAAAAAAGGAATAAATAAGTAATTACTGCCTAATTTCCAGAGTGGATTTCAGTCCTCATGCACACTGGACGTTTTTACAGGCTGTTTTTTGCTTTTGATATTTTTTTCTACAGCTAGTTATCCTGTGTGTCCATGCACACACAGACTGTAATAGTTTTTTGGCTGGAAAAAAAACGCAGGACTAGTGGGTTTGTAGAGGAGTTTTTTTAGCTGTAAAAACACTAATGCTGAAAAACGCGGTAAACACTACAAACCAGCGATTTTGGACTTTTTTTGACCAAAAAAAGATTTTTTTGGTAACAAAAATAAAACGCTCAAAAATGAAAACGCAGAAAAATGCTGGTAAAGGCGGCTAAACACTATTTCAAAAACGCTTAAAGCTGAAAAATTTTACACAGCTGATGTTACCAGTGTTATCAAAATGTCCCGTGTGCGTGAGGACTCATTGTTAGGATGCCAGGAGTTGAGCCACTGGAAATGATTTAGGTCAATATTATTATTTTAGCTTTTTTTTTTTTTACCATTTTAAAGCAGAGCTCCACCCAAAAGGAGAAGTTCCGCTTTAAGGACTGCTCCCCATTAAGGATTGGCACCTTTGGGGGGCGGGTACCCGAATTTGACAGTTACCAGCTCCCATTTCCGGTCGGATTGCCTAGGTGATTGGAAGCGGAAGGTGTCCTCCCTCCCTGTAGTCTTTTGGGACACGTGACAGGTCCCAGAAGACTACAGGACCATTCATGAAGCGCAGCGCTGCTCGTGCAGTGGGTACCCGGCTGTGAAGCCGCAAGCAGTCACAGCCGGATGCCCACACTGAAGATGCCGGCCTCCAGGAATCCAGGACAGCCGGTGAAATGGGCTGCGGGGGACACACCACGGGACCGAGGGACAGGTAAGTGGCTGTTTTTTAAAAGTCAGCAGCTACAGTTTTTGTAGATGTTGACTTTTATTTTTTGACAGGATGAGTGGAACTCTGCTTTAACTATTTGTTTTATGTCTGTGCTTGCATTCTCTCTTGATTCTTTTTCTTTCTCCTTTCTTCTCTTGTCTCATTTTTTCTTTTCTCTTTTTTTTTTTTTTTCCTCCCCTCTTCTCCTGTCTTGTACCATGCCTTCTCTCTGTATGCTTTTCTTTGCCTCTCTTTTTCTTTATTCTCTTCTTTCGCCCTTTATTACTATAATCATGAACTCTTTCAAAGCCGTAGAAAAAAGGAATATATATGTGACTACTTCCTAATTTCCAGTGTGGATTTAATTGTTAGGATGCCGCCTTTAACAAGATCACAAGGAGTCTCCAAGATGTCCAACAGAGGGATATCGGGGTTAAGACTGAGTTTAGGTAAGCAAATTGCGATTAAGGTCAGTAGTGTTCCATGTCCTCATTTATTCAGTTATTGGATTCTTGATCATCTTAAAGCGGTAGTAAAGTCAGCCAGCCGAATCCTTAAAATGAATGTACACCAAAGCTTTTAAAATCATTCCTCCTTATTAATTCTCCCCCATCTGTTTTTCTTTTTAGCTGCATATTTTGTTTTACATGCTTCCTGTCCGAAGCTGGTGCCTTATTTTCTTTTGATTTCTGCATCTAAACCCTTTGTAACTTCTACCCTTTTTGTTGGTAATTGCAGAAATCTCACGCATGCGCATTATTATCCAAGCCGGCAAGTGCTGTACTTTCTTTCCTGTCTGCTTGTCCCTTGATCTGCCACTATGTTTACACCCCTGTTGCAGGTCACATGGGCTGTTTCAGGAAAATTTTGAATGGAGCTGGACTCTCACGGGATTGCAGTGCAATGCAGCAGAGAGTGAATGATGTTGGGCACGGCATCTTCCGGATTGGACTGACGGCGCACATAGCATGCCGTGAATTGCGGCAATTTTGCGCATGCGCCAGTGACATCATCAAAGTGATTGCCACCGAATTTCGTGAGAGCAGCAAAGATTAGATAGACTATAAACACAGCACTATGTCAATTCTTTAGGAGTGAAGATTGGAAGATTTAGGAGTTAAATGGAGGAAACTTAGAATGGAGAGTTTACTACCACTTTAAAGCGGAACCAAAGTTGCAATTTCACAAACTGCAAGCAAGCAGACAGGCAGGCAGGCTGTGAAGAATGTTGAGGCACATTGAATAGGGCAGGGTGGTCTGAAAATGTCACATGTGTGCAGTCGAGTGGCCCAGAGTGTGTTACCTACAGCCAAGTGTAGTCAGTAAAATGGGCTGTGGTATGTCGTGTACAATAGTGTTTCTCACCTTTTTTCAGTCAAGGCACCCTTTAAAATTATGGACAGTCTTGAGACACCCCATTCTAAAATGTGAAACACTATTCTAACAGTTTTTATATAACGCAGCAACAGCCACACACGTAGGACACCCAACATTAGAGGTGATTTATTCTTCCAAAGCAAATCCACTTTTGCACACTGGTACTGACTAGTATTCCATTGTTTCTCTTCTCCCTCATTGAGCTAATGTGACCCCAGCGCTGATGGAGAGGGGCAGGGGAGTGCAAGCAGCTGACATCCTTATCAACTGATGATGTCATTGTTGTCAGGATGCTGGTGGCTAGAAGGCCAGTAATGGTGCAGAATGAAAACCTGTGGCTTTGTGTAACTAAAAGGCAGGCTTCATCCACCCGCTGGCTTGTATAGACAAATTTTGGGCAATTTTTAGACATTTTGCCAAGGCACCCCTGGAGAAACCTCAAGGAATCCCCAGGATGCCTAGGCACCCTGGTTGAGAAAGGCTGGTGTACAGCACACAACCAGAATTGACAAACTGTTGTTAGTATTAAAGCAAACATGGTGCTCTGTCTCCAGCACATATCACTGTGCAACTGAAAAGTGTTGATGCTTTCATTGTGAGCTTTGCAACAAAATCACACCACTGCCATTTTGTTCACTGCTGTGCGTATACATGTTTAATCTGACACAATGGGGGAAACTTGAGCAGACAGAATCTGGAGCAACTGTGTATGGCAACCAATCAGCTTCTGCCTTCAGCTTGATCAGTTAAGCTTTGAAAACAAAAGGTAAAAGCAGATTGGTCGCCATCCCCAGCTGTTCCATATTCTAGCTGCTTCAGTGTTGATGTAGGTTCCTTCTATTGGTACAACTTTTTATCTCATTGTTTCAGCCGGAACAGTGCCAACCTATGACTGTTTTATCTTGGACAACTTTCTTTCAGCATTAACATCCCCAGAGCAAAGCGAGTGCTGGGCCAGCTGAACCGGTGCACATCCCCACAGCAGAAACTTATTTGTCTCAAGAAGGTCGTTCACACCATAATGCAGTCACCAAGCCAGAGAGGTAACTGTTCTACAACTCTAAATTGTCTCCTGCCAGCAGCTGCAGTGCGAGACCCTTGCTTACTGTGTGTGGAAGCAGTGGTCTCTCTGCAGAGGGTCCAACACTCCCTCTGCTAAGATCTACTTAGGCTTTTAGCTCTCCAGTTAGCAAATCTAAAGGATACGTTCAACTTTGGAACAAGTTACATGTTCCCATAGCTGCAGCCACAAAAGGTGAACTTTATCCACCTCCCGTCCAGCCCATGTACGTAAAACGGCCGGACGGGAGCAGTGCAGGAACGGGTTGCCATTTATAAATAACGCCCGCATTTACATCCTGTGCGCGCTCCCTGGGAGACCGCAGTCCGGTACCTGCTGTGTCTTCCAGACACAGTGGAACACCGATCGCTGTACGGGACCTCTGTTTGAGGTCCCGATTCATGTGATCACTGATTGGCCAATCAGTGTTCACATGAATAGTTGTAAAGCAAGATGTCACTTCCTGACATCATTGCTTACTACGTGTGAAGTCTGTGAATGATCACAGAGGTCACATGGCACAAGGCTATTCAGAACAGCCTTGTACCATGTTACAAGCTGTGACCAATCACAGCTCTCACAGTATTTTTCATTGGCTGCAAGAATGCAGCCAGAGAGAAGGAGAAATGATTGGTTTTACAGCCTTTATGGGTGTAAAAGCAATCAGTGTAAAAAAAATCTTCATCACCCCCCCACAAGTAGTACTCAATACTGCCTGGACCTTGAAGAAAGGGACATAACCTAAAAGCTCGTCCTTAAAATTGAATGTTAGTGCAAATAAAAAAAGTATCACGGACAGTACTCAATTGTTTCTACCTTGCAACCGGAAACTTTTTTTTTTTCTTTTAAACAAGTTTACTACCACTTTATCCATTTTTAGTGTGCAGTGATTTGATACACACAGATTACATGGTTTTGTAAGCTGTATTTTACATTTTGTCTTTTTGTATACATTTTCTCTTAGTGAACATGGAGACTATGTGTGCCGATGACCTCCTGTCTGTGTTGCTTTACTTGCTTGTGAAAACAGAGATTCCTAACTGGTAGGTCACCGCTGACGTATGACTGTACTCTGTAATCAGAGAAGTCTGTAATGTTTACCTTGTGCTTTAATTGTGTCGATCCAGAAAAAGACAAAGCAAAAACCCCAGTGAGGCTGGCATGTTTTTCTTGATATTTATGTCTTTATTTATTTATTACAGGTTTGTATATAGTCCTGATAAATTACTTAGCACTTTACATACTGTACATTTACATCAGTCCCTACCCTCAAGGAGCTTAGTCTAGAGCCCTAAACATTCTAGGGCCAGTTTGGATTGTAGCCAATTAACCCGCCTACATATATTTGGAGTATGGGAGGAAACTGGAGTACCCAGGGGATATCCATGAGATCGCAGGGAGAATGTGCAGACATGGAGATAGTGTCTTGGGGGCTGCATGACAGAAGTATGAGCACTAAACTAGTAATCTGCGGGTTAAAAAAAAAACAAAAAAAACCCTCCTAGTCCCCTCATTGCCAATGAGCTTCATTCTCTGGATTAGTTATGCGGTTGCTTAATCTGATTTAAATTTTTTTTGGAAGGAAGCTACCAGTTAGTAGTTACACTAAACAATGGATAAGGCCTCATTCACAGGAGTACCAAGGCCCATATACCATAATGGAGCTGTGTGTTTATGCGGCTTGAGTTGCAAGGTGCTGTGTGTAGGCACCCTATGTAAATGTATAGGGGCGCGCAGACACGGTTGCTCATCCAAACTTGATAGGCATGTGGGTGCGGGTGAGTGACCTGTCTGCACACTTGTCAGGAGCCTGCATGCAGCACCTGGCAACCTAACCTGCTTTAACAATGGCCTGTTCATGGTCTACAGGCCTGGGCGCATGAGGCCTAGAAATTCACAGAATGCAGCCAAAAGTGATCTTTCAGTTGTAAATGGTATCTGGCAGAAAACAATTACTTTTTGGTCACTTATATCTCTTGACTACATCAGCGAGGATGCCATGTTATAGTTCCCATCTGCCTTTCCATCCACTTTGAAGTTTTCTCACACCGTTGTCATCATGTGTTCCGATCTGGGAAGGCATCCATGGATATTTAACCATCAGAGTGCTGGAGGGAACCCACTAGATTAGTTTAAATCTCCAGCATCAGCCAAAAAATAAAATGTCATTTTAGGTTGGACTGATCCCAAAATTAGAGCCTCTTTAAAGACTGTGCCTAGTTTTTGCAGTCGTTGTCACTTTTTTAAAATTTACACGATTGTGTGGGGCTCACACAGCCTGTGAATGAAGAAACTACAAATGCCGTCTGTCACCAATGCAGATGGCTTGTAGTTCTCAGTGCACTGTGAGGGTGCAGATGAGCGCCCTCGTAGTTCAATGATTCTTCCTCTGGCTTTCAAACAGCCTTATACAGACATATGGACAAGAAAGCTGGAGGATGTTTGCAGGAGCCTGACGTTGCACCCATAATCCAGTGATCATGAGTGTAATGCTCTGCAGGCTCCTGTTAAAAAAAAAAAAATGTAAATTTGCTTTTTTTTCCTGCAAAAATATGTGCATTTATTATTTTTTTAAAGAAGGTGAATTGGCCTTTAAATATTTATTCTTAGAGGTGAATTCCAGCCTTCCTTTTAGTCTCGCACCATTGTGCAGTCTCCTCTCCTGGACTGAAATGTCTGATTTCACTGCACACTGTGAGCATCTCACAACATGCATTAAAACTGTAGTAAGTCAGATAGAGCTTGTCTCATTTCCTGACTGGAGGATATCCAGCATGATCTGGCCCTTTGCACCCTGGCCTGCCCCTTTCGTTTTTTTGAATTTCAGTTGCAGTGCCATCTGCCTAGAAAAGCCCACTCTTCTAGTCAGACACCAGCTTGTCAAGGTATTTTGATAACTGCATATTCTGCAACAGGGCTGAGGGCTCTTGAGCGGGGTACTAAGGCAAGGTGCTGTGATGATTTCAGGACGCTATATACAGCACCATGCTGGCCTTTCCCACCAGCTATGATCTGCCTGCATTGCATAGAGAAGCACAAAGTCCTAGCAATAACATCACAGGGTCTAAAAGAAAAAAAAAGAAAGGTATGTAACAAAAATGGAAAGGTTCTATTTTAAAAGGTCCAATAGCATGTTGATGAGGGGAAATAAGGAACCAGGAAAGGCAAAAATAAAAACATATTAAACTTCAGCTTTAAATTATTGTGCAGACTTTTTAATAGAATGTAAATTTGCCCTTTTTCTGCTTTATTTACTATGAACCTGACTCTGCAGCTTGATAGAAGGTCAGAGGTCATTTGAAGTGCTTTGTGTTCATCAGTTTTCTTTTTACCATCCTGTTGTTTTTTTTTTCTTAATTCTCTAGGATTGCAAACTTGAGTTATATCAAGAATTTCAGATTCTGTAGTACAGCCAAGGATGAACTGGGGTATTGTTTGACCTCCTTTGAGGCAGCTATCGAATTCACCCGACAAGGAAATCTTTCTGCAACAGCAGCAGTGAGTACACAGCAGAGGCAGTAATATATGTGTGTGTGTGTATGTGTGTGTGTGTGTATATGTATGTGTGTGTATGTGTATATATATATATATACACACACACACTTGACTATTTTCAGCCCGGTCCAGTCTGCTCACATGATCCAGCTCCCCTGTGTCAGCCAGCAGTGACTGCAGGGGAGAGGAGGGAGCACCGACAACTGGGAGAAAGCAGCCTATGGTTGACATTACCACTCCCAGGCATTCCAGCCATCGTCGCGCGCTCCCTCCCTCCCCTCTCCTGCCTGCAGCTGGCTGACACAGCGAATCACATGACTGGGCCAGAGCGGGCTGAGAATAGGTAGGTCTATAAATCTTTTTTACACGTTATTCAACATAGGTGTTAGGAGGAGAAATGCACAATTTTAAGACTAGTTAGGTTTAGTGCTGGAATTCTAAAGAATTGTTCAGGTTCTCCTGGTTTTTATGCAACCTTTACCTTTATCTGTAATAGAAAATCCAACCAATGCTCCTTAGTGATGGGCAACCTTTTTCAAAAATTAAATATTTCATCGCTCTTAACACTTCGTTGTAATATATGATTGCCTTGCTTTCCTGTGCGTGGGGTAATTGCTGCATTAGTGGAACAAGCTGTGTAAATGCACTAGTTTGTGGAGAGAGGTGTTCATTTATTGCTGTAGCACGGTTTATTTGAAAGTCCTGCTGGTGATTAAAGGATAAGTTCACCTTTGGGAACATGTTACATGTTTCACCCGTTTTTAGGGTGGAACGTGTAACATGTTCCAATAGCTGCAGCGCGGGCCGTGCGGGGCTCCTCCCACACGGCCGCGGCACTCATTCATGGACTTCCGTGATCGAATGAACTGCAAGTCCCAACAGCCTTAGCGGCTGACAGCTTGTAGTTTTCAATGAACTACCACGGCGCTCTGGAGCTTTTCAATCATGTGACCACCCTGACTAATCACGGCGATCACATGATCGTTATACTCGCCCCCGCCTCCCAGCATTTAGGACCTTGTAAAGGGCTAGGAGGTGGCAGAGAGAAGGGGTTAAATAAAATAAATGCCACATCTTATTAGTGGCCAGATACATGACAAAATCCAAACCATCAGACACGTGTTTATAAGAAGAGATGCAGAGGGTCCAGGTCTGCCTAGGCAACTGTATCCTGAATTTCTTTATTTTTATTTTATTTGCTTATGGCTGTGATGCTTTTTCTCATTTACATGCCCCCATTATGTATTCCACTCATGACGGATTGTGTGTTGTAGGAATCCGACGGGAACGATAAATCATTCCTATGGCAAAGGTTGAACTTGATGTCCAGAGTCCCATCTGCGCCCATCGACTGCTTGTTCAAGGTGAATATCCACGTTTTTCAGCTTGAAATTTGGAACCTCGACCCATGTTCTAATTTGGGGTTTTTGCATCTGTTCAGGAATAAAAACCTGGAACATGTATAGTCTGCAAATCCTTAATTTGCTCCAAGTCAGTGCTGAGGCAAGATCTAGATTCTAATAAAGCACTTACAAGCGAAAGAGAAGAGCGCACAGGCTGTGTTGCAGTACCCTTTATTTTATGATAAAAAATAGATAAAAATGCACTTGGAAGCAAAAATGAATCGGAGCTTCTCAGTCACATCTCCCCTCCATGGTACTGTGCGCCAAATTCCACTCACTGCCCTTAATAGAAGCTCCAGCTTATAGTGTGGATGCAGCAGCAGTCCTGAACCGAATGCAGCTGCTGCTGTGCCTAATCACATACACGGTGGCAGTTCACATGCATAGAAAGCCTCCCCAGGTCACATGATGCAAACAACTGGAGGGACTTAAATAAGGAGGCAAGGGAGAATATCACCAGCACACCGAGGATCACCAATATGGGTCCAAGAGTTTTAATGAACGATCGCATTGTTACAGCAAGGAAAGGTTTCAGAGTCTCGCAAGACACCTTCATCAGGCATGTGACCATAGGGGTCCTGCAAAATTCGAAAACGTTGCGTTGCTGTAACTGTGATCGTTCATTAAAACTTTTGGACCCATATTGGTGATCTTCGGTGTGATGGTGACATTCTCCCTAGCTGATTCTGTTCTGTTCCAGCCGACGGTCGCTGCAGCACCCACTTATACACACATCCATTTTTAACACAGGAACGTGTGCGTTTGGATTGTACACTTGATAAAGGAGGCTACGCCCTCCGAAACATGTAGCAACAGTTCACACACCCCATCAACAGCCATCTGCTTGCATCACGTGACCCAGGGGGAGGATTTATGTGTATGTGAACTGTCAGTGTGTATGTGATCAAGAACAGCAGCAGCTGCACAGCAGCCCACTTAATTTCCTGGCTGGAGAACATCCAGCAATATTTAGCACTTTCCTCCCCAGCCTGACTGTCCCTGACCTGCCCCTTTCATTCATTGGATTACAATGCTTTCAATCACATGTGGGTGTTACCCAGGGTAGGCTGCATCTAAATACAGGCTAAGAATTCCTATTCCTCCAAACAAACATCCACCCATCAATGCATTTTGATATTTGCATAACTACACCCCCCCCCCAACATCTTTTTGTCAAAAGAAAAAGAAAAAAAAAAATAAGTGTTCATTCATGGTGCTGTACAGTGACGGGCTTTTTAAAATAAAGTTTGTCCTAACAAAAAAAAAAAAGAGCTGTGTGATGCACTGAATTGCTCACCACACTACCCCCTAGCACAGTCAGGAGCGGCAGCTGCCAGACAGGTAAATCACTCCTGACAGCTGTCAGCAGTAGTGTAAAAATTGCCCTTAAATGTTTAGTAATTAGTGCAGGTTCTCCTTAGGGCTCTGGAACCAAGGACAGTAAAAAAGTCACACCTTTAGAAAATGAAATCTCTGTATCCAGCTTGCTGAGCACAACACAGAGCTCGGTGTTCACGTCGTCTTCCTGTCGCTCACCGCACGTCTGTTCTCCGACAGCACATCGCCTCTGGGAATAGGGAAGAAGTGGAAAAGATGCTGAACCAAGGAGATGCTGATGAAGAGGCTGTACAAAAGATGTGTCACCCTCTCTGCTCCTGTGACAGCTGTGACAAGTTGGCTTCTGGGTAAAGAAAAGATATCTGTATAATAGGAATAAAAATGAATAAATAACGGTCTTCATATTTCATGCACAGTTAATTGCAATGTTATGCAAATCTGGGGGCATCCCAGGTCAAATGATGTGGTTTTTTTATTGTTATCGAAAAAAAAAAGTTAACGATGTGGAATACAAATGTAAATATGATGTGTTTCTGGCTTTTAACCCCTTGATTGCGATCGCACGCAAATATGCGGCCTCTCGGCATCTGGGCCTTGACGCCGAGCAACTGCATATTTGCGTTCAATTAAAAAATACATATGCACGGAGAACGCGCGCTCCTAGCACATACATCCGCAATTCCCGGAAAGGTCCCGATCTCCCCTTTCGATCGGGACCTTTTTCCGATCATGTGACAGCGAATCACAGCAGTCACATGACCCTAAAACCCCGCCATGCCTCCCATCTTCTGAAACTCGTAAAGGGCCGGGAGGCGCCAGCGCCAAGAGGTTAAGTAAACTTGTTGAAAAAAATTGAAGCTTCTTGTGCCAGCATTTTTCCACCACTGAGATCCCAACATGCTGATATACGGTCGGACAGGAGCGCTGCTGATGCGGGGGGACATTTCTAAACAATCAGTGATCACATGAAGAGTAGTAAACAGGATCTCTTTTTTTTCCTGACATCATTGTTTACTACTTGTGAAATCTGAATGATCACAGAGGTCACATGGTACAAGGCTATTCACAACAGCCTTTTACCATGTGACAAGCTGTGACCAATCACAGCTCTCACAGTATTTCTCAATGGCTGCAAGAATGCACCCAGAGAAGGAGAAATGATTGCTGTTACAGCCTTTATGGGTGTAAAAGCAGTGTAAAAAAAAAAAAAAAAAAAAAAAAATTTCAGCACCCCCCCCACAAGTACTGCTAGGGTGACAGTATGTAAAACAAAAAAAAAAACAACAAAATATAAATAATATAAAAGAAATAAAATAAAAATGTTATTTTTTTTTTTTAAATTATATTTTTTTTTATAAACTGATTTGTTTTTTGTTTTTTTTACCAAATAGCTAAATACATTTTGGCCAAGATTTATGAAGAAAGATTGTTTATTTGCAAAATGTTATAAGAAAACACCTTTTTTTTTTTTTTCAAAACTTTTGGTCTTTTCATTTATATAGCAAAAAAATAAAAATCCCAGTGGTGAATAAATACTACCAAAAGAAAGTTTTATCTGTCTGAAAAAAAATACTAAACATTTCATATGAGTACAGTGTTGCATGACCGCGCAATTGGCATTCAAAGTGTGATAGCGCTGAAAGCTGAAAATTGACCTGGAAGGGGGTGAAAGTGTCTGAACTTGAAGTAGTTAAAATGGTAGTTTATGAACTTTTTAAATACATTTTAAAAAGTCAATCGAAATTTGACCAAAAGCCATTTTAGTTTTCATATAAATACTTATATGGCATGTCTAGGTTTTTTGGCTCTAAAAAGACACATTACAGAACAATTAAAATCCTCTGTAATGTAGATGATATGGGTAATAGATTTCCACTTAAAGAAGGAGCCTTGTGTTTATATAGTTTTAAAACTCCTCAGCGCATGCTAATATATTTCTAATGTTCTGTGTACATTATCACTTACATAATGTACATCACATGAGTCAATTATTTATCGTCTCTAATGTACTCTCTGTAATCTGTGTGGGGGGGGGAGCCAGTTCATAACTAGCCATAAAGTGTCTTTTGTTTTATTTATTTGTGGTTCTCTGCTAAGCACTGTTCACATCTTTAATTGGACACAATAATACAATACCATTAAAATTTAAAAAAAAAATGGTATTTATTGTCCTCTTTGGGGCACTGGAAGACATTAATCTTCGGGTTATATTGTCACCCAGAACAGGATTGGTTCCTGGTAAACAAAACAAAGTGTACGCCAGTCCAGGATAAACCCTCCTACTGCCACCATGCCTCAGATTTTTGCTAATGTCCTAGAAAGATTATTTATTTATTACAGGTACTTATATATCGCCGTCAATTTACGCTTTACATATATATTGTACATTCACATCAGTCCCTAACCCTCAAGGGGCGTACAATCTAAGGTCCCTAACTCACATTCATACATACACATACTAGGGACAATGTAGACAGGAGCCAATTAACCTGCCAGCATGTCTTTGGAATGTGGGAGGAAACCGGAGTACCCGGAGGTACTGAAGCCGTGTAAATGAGTCTTGAATAAATAGGAATAAAAATGCTAGTAAAGATAGGTTTGTCTTTTACACAGCAGAGCTCCAAGAAAAGAGGTGGGCAGCACAGTGGCTAAATGGTTAGCACTCCCACCTGGCAGTACTAGGGTCATTGGTTCGAATCTCAGAAACTGCACCACCTGCCTGGAGTTTGCATGTTTTCCCTGTACCTGCGTGGGTTTCCTCTGGGTACTCCCGCTGTTCTGGGGCCCCTAGCTCACAATCTGTTGACACTTTGAGGCTTCTGGCAGTGCGTCCACCAATGTGGTGGATGTCTGTGGCCAGAAATCGAACCCTTCCTTGGACTCCCTTAGCTCCTTCAGGTAAGGCCGGCTCCTGTGCCCACTTGGCTGAGGTTTTTACCACAGTCATGAAAGACTTTATGGCCTATTTCTCCAGGTTATTTGCTGACTTTGACCTCACACCTTCCTTTGCACATTTTGTATCTAATCAACCCAGCCAAAGAGTGTTCTGATTCTGAGTCTCTCTGGTCCCTGACTGATCATCCTCATGTATTAGGCTTTTTAGTTGGTGCTCCAATTTAAATGCCAATAGTAATGCAAGTTGTTATTAATATGTTTTACTCATCTCTTTACTGTAAATACATATTTTTTTATATAATATTCTTTTTTCTATAGGAAGTTAAATGATACGTCAATTGTCACTCCATTATCTCGAGATGATCGAGGTTACACTCCTCTTCACATTGCAGCCATCTGCGGTAAGACCTGAGCTCCCATGTTGGGCGCTGCTTAAATGAAAAAACAAAGAGTCAGCGTCTGCCTGACATTTACTTTTATATACTTAGTGCCTTGTGTTGCGCTCTTTTTGTAGGGCAGTATCAGTTTATTGATCTATTGATCTCTAAAGGAGGAGTGGTTAATGCCACAGATTACCACGGGTCTACGCCACTACACCTGGCCTGCCAGAAGGGCCACCAGAAGATAGCGGTAAGTTTCACATTCACAGTACACTTCCTCCTGTCGTGTTTTTTTTTTTTTTTTTTTTTTTTTTTTTTTAATCTTTTACTCCCTGTATGTGCTGAAATTTTATATCAGGCTCACAGTGTGATTGGTTCTTCTGCAGCCACAGTTAAAGGGCTGAACAAGAGTGAGTCACTCTGTGTTCTCATTTATTTTGCACAATCTAGCTCTGACACTTCAAGAACGGATAGAGGGCAGAAAAGTGCATGATCATAGAGTTCAGTCATGTGTCAGAAGGCAGGCCACACAGAGCAAATGGTATAACCCCAGAAAAGCAGCCATACATATTGGTGCTGAGTAACAGAACTAAAGACTGCAGAGCAAGATATGGAAAGTGAACAATTACCTTTGGAAGTGTCTTAAAGCTAAACTCTGGGCAGAAAATGTAACAGCTGGTAGTATTGGTGCTTTCATACCTTAGTGCAGTAGTCTGCAAACTGATGCCCAGGGTCCAGATGTGGCCCTTTGCTTGCCTCTGTCTGGGCTACTAACACCAAGGGGCCATAATTCATGCCACTGACATCAACGGGGCACTCTTTCAACAACTGACACCAATGATAGGGATGTATTCCGCCCACCGACACCAACAATGGGGTACTATTCCTTCCATTGATAACAATTATGGGACACGATTTCTCCTAGTGACACCAATGATGGGTTACTTTTCCTCCCATTGATACCAATAATGGGTCATTGTTCCTTTTGCTGATACCAATGATGGGACACTAGTTCTCCCACTGATACCAATGATGGGGAACTATTCCTCTCACTGACACCAGTGATGGGGCACAATTCCTCTCACTGACACCAACGATGAGGCACTATTCCTCAAACTAACATAATGATGGTAATCTATTCTGCCCACCAACATCAACGAAGGGGCACTATTTCTTTCACTAATACCAATGTTGTGGCTCTATTGCTCCCAGTGACACCAGTGATGGGTCATTATTCCTCCTACTGATACCAATGATGGGCCACTATTCCTCCCACTGATACCAATGATGGGGCACTATTCCTCCCACTGATACCAATGATGGGACACTATTCCTCCCACTGATGCCAATGATGGGACACTATTCTCCCCAATGATGGGACACTATTCCTCCCACTGATACCAATGAAGGAACACTATTCCTCCCACTGATATGAATGATGGGGCACTATTTCTCCCACTGATACGAATGATGGGGCACTATTCCTCCCATTGATACCAATTATGAGACACTATTCCTCCAATTGATACCAATGATGGGACACTATTCCTCCCACTAACCCCAAAAACAGCAGCCCCTGAACTCTCCTTTATGTTTTCTTATGTGTCCACGTACACATCGTCGTTTACAGTAGTTTACAGGCAGTTGAGGTTACAGGCATTTTTTGAGAGCACAAAAATCACATTCAGGAGTAGAGTTTACCAGCATTTCAAACGCCAAATGCTTGTAACCGTGTCTAAATGCTTGTATGCGTATACTCCTGAACGCGATTTCTGTGCTTTCAAAAAAAATGCCTGTAAACTACTGTAAACAACGATGTGTACATGGACACCTAAGAAAGCATAAAGGAGAGTTCAGAGGCTGCTGAAAAAAAAACGTACAATTGCGCCTAAACTTCAGTTTAGCAGCTGCAGTGTACATGAGCCCTTCACTGTTTTCTGCTCTACCCATGTGAACAACCTGCAGCAGTGTACATAGAGGGTGAGCACAAACCTGTGTGTTCCAGTGTACATTTTTCTGGACTGTTAACATTTTTTTTTTTTTTCTTTTTTTTTTGTAGCTGCTCTTGTTACATTATAAGGCAAGCCAGGATATTCAGGATAACAATGGGAATACGCCTCTGCATCTGGCCTGCACATACGGACATGAAGATGTAAGTTTCGCTTGGGAAATACACTCACCATCTTTATAAAACATTTTTTTTAAAGTGACCTGGTGTTTTGCAGGGCAAAGCAATAGATTTATTTTAAAGTGAGCTCCCGCAGCAAGTCATCTTTTCTTTGCTTCCCCTATTTGCCTTTGGGAAGAAGGGAAAGAAACACTGTGTAAAGGGATCCTAGCTGGAGCATACCTAGGAGAAGGTCTCCTGTTCAAATGACAACACTGTGGGCAATCACCAAACACCTTTGCTGTCACTTGGGAGGGAGTCCTATGCTCTCTCATTCCTGGGGTAGCAGGTATTTCTCTTGGCTTTCAGCAGTACAGTGAGTAAAGGGAATGTGAATATGTGGAGCTAAAGAGACCAATGTGTATTTTGAATATTTCTCTGAGACGTAACTCCCTGTGCTGTTGTTTCTTCCAGTGTGTGAAGGCTTTAGTCTATTGTGACGGGAACGTATGTAGAATGGACTGCGTTAATGAGAAGGGGGACACAGCACTGCACATCGCTGCCCGCTGGGGATATCAGGGAATTATCGAAGTCTTGCTACAGAATGGAGCCAGCACCATGATCCCAAACAGAAGGAAGGAAACTCCTCTGCAGTGTGCACTGAACTCAAAGGTAATAGATCACCCTGGACATTCATGTGTCTGCGGGATGTTTGACTGCTGCTGTTAAAGTGGCTGTGAAATTAACCCCCGACGGTATTCCCGAGTGTAGCTCGGGGTAAAGTTTCAGTACCAAAAGCGGTAACCCCGACCTACACTCGGGAATACACTGCGGCGCTGCTCCGGGATCCCTCGATCACTTACCTTGTCCTGCACTCCTGCGATGTCCCTCCTGCAGTGTCCCCTGCAATGTCCTCCGACGGATGCTGGCATCTGTCATCTGGGTTCCGTCCCCTGCGAGCGTCGGGACGTACGGGGGACGGAATGGCGGAAAATTTGAAAATGACAAAAAGTGACATTGACTAAATACACTAAAATCACATAGTATAACATTCCTGTATCAAACCATTTCACATACATTTTGTCCCGAGTGCTTTGTCCGGCACCCTGCCTGCATTTTTACTGTTCTTTCTGCCTGGAAACTGAGAAACGTCCATGGCGTCCAAAAAGCGTCCCTTTAGGTCAAAAGCGGTTTTAGACCGGCTAGAGAACAGCGATAGTAAATCAGAACCACTTGCAGAATTGAGTGATGATGAATTTCCCCCACAAATCATTATCAGACACTGAAAACGATTCTGCGACTTTGCTCAGTGATGTGCGAACTTGGCGCTATATTTCAAATTTCAGTGTTTTTGGTTTGATTACATTATTGAATTAAATTTATTATTATTATATATTATTATTTTTTTATGATTATTAAATTATAATTTATGATTTCGTGTTTCAAATTTTATCATACCCGGGATGTTTACTAGACTCTTGTTCGGACAGATTTCAGTGAGTTATTCCTAAAAATTACAGGCCTACAATAAAAAAAATACATATTTCCATGCAAAAAAATATACCGCTTTGAGCACAGAAATATGGACATAATCGGACCGCTAGGAGGTTAATAAACATTTTAAAGGCATTATACACTTTCCTACCTGCACCTTGTGTTTTTCATCTGCATAAGATATGCTTGATCATGTAGTTGGAAAGTAAACTGTACAGGGTACCAGCATCTAAGTGCAGATGGTTTATTAAAAATAAAGACACAAGACCTGGTTCAGAGGAGCAGCCACTGCCCCTAGTACCTTTTTTATTGACTCCAAGCTAAGCTTTTACATTTCCTACAACAATTGATAGGTTCAAAAATAAACCGAGTGTTCACTATTGTGCCGTAGCTTCATATCATTGTTATTACTCATGTAGTTTCACGGTGTCATTTGTAGGCCTGTATGCAGCCTAGAATAGAGTACATTTTCAAATTCCAGTCCAGCAGTTCCTGTTTGTCAAAAAATATTCGTATCGCCCCTAGTCCCGTGAAAACAGGCGGCGCATACATTTCATAATTCTGTCATTAAACATCAACTATTATTCATATATTGTGTCATTCTTTGTCTTCAACATTATAGCCGTAATAAAATATACATAATTGAATAAAATTATAATTATAAAACAACTTAGTGAATATGACACAAAATTGTGATAGTCCACAATTCCCGTGATTAAAAAAAAAAAAAAAAAAAAATATATAAAAAAAAAAATATATATATATATATATATATATATATATATATATATATATATAAACTCCGGAAAAAAAAGTCCCGTGATAGAAAAAAAATTAAAGTCCAGTGTTGAAATGAATTCATAAAGAAGAAATGAAAGTCCAGTGTTGAAATTAATTCATGTGACGTAAAAAAAAAAACATAAAAATGTTGAAACTCTGTGCTGAGCCCACCGTGCACCCCCACTCAGGTGTGCACTCACCAGAAATTGCCTTTTTTAAAGCATAATCAAGAGGATGTCTATTAATTAGACCAGGAGGTTCCTCCAAGAATCACCCTTCTAAGATTGGTTGCCAGGATGATTGAAAAACTCCACCATATCATGAAAAGAGAAGAAAACTATCTGCTCCAATAGTATATTATCCAAGATAAATGACTTTATTGCTCCAAGTAATGCACTTACAACATTAAAAACTTCAACAAGCCCAAATAATCCTAGTGTCACGCAGATACCGCATGGTGCTCGCTCAAACCGTTCATGTTTGTGTTCAGTCGTGAGGGTTGCATCATGGCACTTCACTGGTTAATGCATGACCTCGGTCTGTAGTCTAGGAACCAACATTTCCTGTGAAGAAACTACATATCCCACCATCCCTGGGTCTCTCAGTCTAGTGCTGGTGCAGGTGAGCGCTAAATGGTAAATCTGACAGACACTAACAGGCAGAGCAATTAACAGAGCTTTCCATGCTGAAAGGGATGTGTGTTCATCACATTAGCACTCCCACCATTTGTGAGGCATTCCCTGGATGGTGTTAGACCCAAAATAAGAATTTGCCTGTGCCTATGGACAAGCTAGGTGGATTAATATGTAGGTATAGGGGAGTAAATCAGCTATGACACTACAAACTGTAGTGAGCTAATCGTTGCAAACTAACCACACAGGGAATAGAACTACTTGTTAAAAGAACAGCAGCATTTGAAAATGTTCAATGCCTTTCATACATGGTGACAAGAGATTCCCAGAGCACTATGGGTTAGCTGAAGAGACAGCACTGAAAAAGCTTATGAATGCACTCCTGTAAACGAACAATGATCTTTTGTTACTTGCTCCCTTTTTGTTTTGTTTATATCTGTTTGATAAGTGCACAATATATAGTCTTAATTTTTTGAATGAGATGCTTTTATTTAGTTTTCCCTTTTTTTTTTTTTTTTTAACCTGACACTTCAGCTGGAGTGTCAGACGATAAAGGTCACTTGAAATCTGTCATTTGCTGCCTTGTGAATTGCTAGACTCAACACACATTCCTATTTTTTTTGTCACAGATTCTGTCCATCATGGAGACCGCTCACGCTGACAACGACAGAAGGCCGAGTAATTGCGAGGTAAGGACCACATCTATAGCTCTTCATTGAGATCTACCCTGGCTCTGTGTATTCACATCTCTACCACCCTTCTCTTTTATTGTGGGTCTTGGTTCAGTCCCCCATATGCTCACCACCACAGTCAGCCGACACGATCAGCAGAGACTCGTCAGAGTCCAGCCTCTCCTCGTTGTCCACCAGTGCCGGGCAGGAAGACACAAAAAGCAGATATAAAGAGGTACATTTGTATGAACTGCTGTCAGATCCCATCTCATTTCACAAGGCGACGTACTCCATGTGTGCCTAGAACTGTATGTATGGATGATTTGCAAAAGCTCTCTAGAAGGTGTTGTGTGTGCATAGGTGTACTTACATGTTCAATTCATGCTTTTCTTTTTGCACAATGACTAGTGGAAAGCAACAAAAAAGCAAAATTAAAGCTGAAATTAACTTTCAGTTTAAATAATCTAAATACAATCCAGGTGCATCAAAACAAAGATGTGCAAATTCCTAAAGTTCTCATTTTCAGAGCAGCTACAGCCAGAGTAGAAAAGCTCATTCCCTGCCAGCAGAGAAGGACCCTTGCCCCACTGTGTGGAATTAGTGGTTTCTCTGCAAAGTTCCTACACCCCCCCCCCCCCCCCCCCCCTGCTGAATCAGACCTACAGCTCTGCAATCTGCTAAGCTCAGGTTCCCTGTTCCCTGTCAGTGTATATACAGTGGTGTATTTAGGATTCGTGCTGCCCTAGGCAACACAAAAATTGGCTCTTCCCATTGACCGATAACACCCCGGCACCCCCCACCCCTACCTGAGAGAGCCTTCCACTACCACCGTTTTCCCATACACTGACAATCCCCACACCGGGAAGAGATAAGACACTCACTTTCACAGCTCCGGACATCCCTGGGAACAAGAGTCAGGCTCTGCATACACCATCAAGCAGCCTCTCTCAGATCATACACACCTGGTCCCTGTGCTGTGTGTGTCCCTTCTTCTTTCCTTCTTTCGGGGGACAGCACTGCCCCCTAAAAAATGCTGCTGCCCCACCTGAAAAATGCCGCCCTAGGCAAATGCCTTGTTTGTCTTGTGGTAAATACACCCCTGTTCCCTGCTGATTTCATAGTTCTGAAACTGGCTCAGCAACATGTCATATCTCTGCAGAGGGACCACTGCTTCCACACAGAGAGCAAGGATCTTTCCTTGCTGAATGATGACAGGGGACAGGGTTTTATTCTTGAGCTGTGGCTGCTTTCTAAAGAAAACAAACTGCAAGACTGACAGAGAAGTTAAAGCGGAGCTCCAGCTGAAAAAAAAGTAGCTACAAAAACTGTAGTTGCTGATTTTTAAAATACAGTCACTTACCTGTCCCTCAGTCCAGCGGTGTCCTCACCATGGCTGGTTTCACCGGCCGTCTTCTCTCCCTGGTGCCGCCATCTTCAGTGTGGGCACCCGGCTGGGACAGCCTGCGGCTTCACAGCCAGGTGCCCACTGCGCATGCGTGAGAAGTGCTGCGCTTTGTGAATGGCCCCCGTAGTCTTCTGGGACCTGTCACGTGTCCCAGAAGAATACGGGGAGGGAGGGGGGGAGGACAACATCTGCTTCCGATCGCCTTAGGCGATCACAGTGGACGTCGGAGCATTTAAACCAGACTTCTTTAATGCTAATGTACTGCAAACTGTAGGTGGAATTATTTTTGACAGGGATTCCCCAAGACCTAAAAATTATTTCTCTGGGATAAAAATGGTGAGAGAGGCTGACCTAAATTATGAAATTCCTATGTTTTGGTTTCAATATGAAAACACAAAAGTTACCTGCTTTTCTTTTTTTCTTTTTTTTTTTTTCTTCTTTACAGGTTGAGAAACTTTTACGTGCGGTTTCTGATGGTGATTTGGAAATGGTTGGTCATTTTTTTTTTTTTTTTTTTTTTTTTAGCTTTGTTCAGACATCTTATTTGTAATTTGTACAGTCTTCATTTTTTTCCTTTTTTTTTGCTTTTTCTGGTCTGTTCCCGTAGGTGCGGTACCTCTTGGAGTGGGTTGATGATGACTTTGAGGATGAGTTGGAAGATTCCTTGCTGGGGAAGAAAGAGTTCTGCCATCCACTATGTCAATGCCGGACCTGTGGTCCTGTTCAGAAGGTTAGCCTGGTTTTTTTTTATTCATAAAAATTAACAGAAATCTTACTATATAGGCATTAGTTGTATGAAGCACTTTGTAATCCTGGGAGACCTTGCTTATATCTACTGAGTACTTCAGACTCTGTCCCTTCCTATGAAGTTATAATTGCGGCATAACCTTCATATTTCAAGGGCTCCGGTGAACATTCTCTAAGTCCATTGATCTTCCTGAACTTCATTAACTGCCTGCCCATATCGGAGGTATGGGCAGACCGCAATACTGACTGTCTGCAGGAGCCTGACATTGCAACGCTTTACAGGCTCCTAAGAAAATTAAAATTGCATTTTTTTTTTACCTGCAAAATTATTATTTTTTTAGAAGGTGAATTTAGCCATTAAAGCTGAATTCCAGGTATGACAATATTTTTACACAATTACATTGGTCCAGCTTGGTTCAATGTAAGTATGGATATACCATCCCTGCAGGTCCTTGTGGAAGCTGGAAATCACTGAAGTAGGCACCACAGCTACAGTGATTGCCGCTGGCTTTCGGATTCCGTGCTGAGCAGCTAAGTAAGACTGGCTCCTGATCAAATGATCACTGCAACAGCCAATCGGTGATCAGGAAACCCAAGAAATGCCTCCATTGTTAAATCTATGAATTGGGCTGGTGGGCATGGGTTATGACACACAGTGCACAGCGCAAACTAAAGGTAAACCAGGGTTTACATCTACTTTAAAAGTTTGTAGTTATTTTTGTATCTCTCTGCAGAAACTGAGCAAGATTCCTTCCAATGGCCTCAGTGTCAACGTGACCAGCCGAGATGGTTTCACTCCTGTCCATATAGCCTGTCTGCATGGTAACATCGTGCTTCTCTCTCTGCTGCTGAAACACGGGGCTCAGGTGGATGCTAAGAATGGGAACCGCGCAATACCTCTTCACCTCGCCTGCCACAAAGGACATGTGGAAGTGAGTCTGGCTGCATTTAGTAGACATCCCTTTATGCTGAAAAGTGTGCAAGCAACGCTTTTCAGGCTGGATGCCCAGGTGGCATTCCTTTTCTGTGGTGTTCTGAATCTGCCCAGTGAGAGAGCTACAGAGCTACTTTGCACTGCTGGGTGGCTTTCAAATCTCCCACTACTGCTGGTTTAACATGTAAAGGTGTAATGCTGAGGGACCTACTCCTCTGCAGTAGGAATTTTATTTTTGGTAAGATACTACCTAGGTTTGTCTGCTAAAGGGATGCAGACACTGCAGCTTTCCCTACTTAGCCACTTGCCAACCGCGCTATAGCCGAATGATGGCTGCAGCGCGGTTGTCCAGTTCTGGGAGGGCGTCATATGACATCCCCCCAGAACACGATCCCGGCGATCTCCGTGATTGCTGTGTCCTAAGGACACAGCTGATCACATGATGTGATAAAGGGCCAATCACAGTGGCCTTTTACCACGTGATCAGCTGTGTCTAATGACACAGCAGATAACCGGTAAATGCAGTTGCCAGTTATCGGCACTGAGCAGTGCCACCCACCTGTGCCCATCAGTGCTTAGTAGTGCCATTCACCAGTGCCCATCAGTGCTGCCCAGCAGTGTCACCAGTCAGTGCCCATCATTGTTGTATATCAGTGCAACATCATCATTGCCGCCTCTCCGTGCCCATCAGTGCTGCCTATTTGTGCTGCTTATCCGTTCAGTCTCATCAATGCACATCAGTGAAGGAGAAAAATGACCTTTTTGCAAAATTTTAGAATAGAAACAAAGAAAAAAAAAACAACACATTTTTTGCTTTTTTTGTTTATAGCGCAAAAAATAAAACCCCCAGTGGCGATTAAATACCACCAAAGGGAAGCTTTATTTGTGTGAAAAAAATTATAAAAATTTCATATTGGTACAGTGCTGTATAACCACGCAATTGTCATTCAAAAGTGCAACAGCTCTGAAAGCTGAAAATTGGCCTGGACAGGAAGGGGGTATAAGTGCCCAGTAGCCTAGTGGTTAAACAGTGAGAAGAGTTCAGATGGTTATAATGGGCACTGAGAATAGTTCAGATGGTTGTAATGGGTACTGAGAATAGTTTGGATGGTTGTAATGGGCACTGAGAATAGTTCGGATGGTTGTAATGGGCACTGAGAATAGTTCGGATGGTTATAAAGGGCACTGAGAATAGTTCGGATGGTTATAATGGGCACTGAGAATAGTTCGGATGGTTATAATGGGCACTGAGAATAGTTTGGATGGTTGTAATAGACACAGGAATCCATCTTGAAAGGACATGGGGTAACTGCAACAAGGTTTATTAAAAATCCTTGCAATGTACATAGATAACCAATTCAAGTGATATTTTATTGGAAGGGATGATTTGGTGGGCTGAGTCACCTGGGGGTTCTTAAACTTCCTTGTAACCGCAGCACCAAGATCTTGAGTCTTACTTTTCCTGCTGCAGTAGGTGTGTTGCTGTGTGTTTCCACTCCCCCTGGGCTCTAGATTGCAAAAAATTTTAACTTGGAGAGAGGCACACTTCTGTAAAAACTTTGGCAGATGTCTTATTCCTCACTGATTACATTCTGTTTCAACAGGTGGTGAAGATCTTGATGGAGTACAGCACTGGGAAAAATAAGAAAGACATGCATGGCAATACGCCTCTTATCTATGCTTGTATGGGAGACCATCTGGAAATTGCATCGATGTTACTGGAGGTAGGGAGACTCCGAGCTGCAGTGCTCCAGACGTGTCCTGACATTTGATGAGACTGATCTAACCATCCTTTGCTGCAGTTGCACATTATAAGGAATAAAGGGCCACTCTATGCTCATAAGATATTTGTGCCTTAAAGTAGTTTTCCAGCTATTATTTGATTTCAACTAGTATAATCAAGCCAAGCTGGCCCAAACATACCACTTCCATTACACTATTATGCGGCCACTGTGTGTGCTGTATCATACTGTTGTGGCATCCAGCGCCATGTTGCACAGCTGTGTGAGCGACTTACCATCTGCTGCCATAGCAAAACCTGGTTGACCAGAATACGCCTTCGCCATTCACGAGAAGCCTTGTACTTTTGTCGGTAAATACTAGGCTTCTTCTGACTGGCTGAGGCAGGCAGGCAGATGACATCACAATTTTTACCTTGGCCAATAGGAGGAATGATGTAAACACATTCATTTAGTTCCAGCAGCAGACAGGGTGTCACTTGTACAGCTGCCGGTACACAGGGCTGCTTTACTGTATGTAACTAATGCTACTACAGTATAATTCAGCGCCTACAGCGGCTGCAAAGTCTTGCAATAGAAGCTTGGCCCAAACAAACTATTTAAAATCAAATTATTTATTTATTTATTGGATCTCCAGTGATTAGAGCTTACTGCCTTAACAAATGACAATTTTACATGGTGGGCCTGCAAATTAATCACCTATTATGTTGGTATGTCTCTGGTCACTGTTCACTTTTTTTCTCAAGAAGGATTATTTTCCTGCACGCATGGTTTTACCTGCCTGTCACTCTGGTGGCTTTTGTATTGTTGCATTGGCTACTTTCACCCTGTTCCTTTATAAAGACTATTTTTTTTTTTTCCGTTTATTTTTGGATTTGGGTGTAATTTTACTACTGGTAACTGTACAAATGGTCCGCTTTCTCATTTGTGCTAGTCCTCCCACCTCTCCCAGGCAACCATTTTATTTTTTTTTTAATTCACTGTATACATATTTAAATCCTGATGCCTTCTGGCTGGTCAAGTGACATCCTCTCCTGCTCCAACATCCACTGTGGGTTGTCCTGAATGATGCAAGGAACCCAGCTATCGCAGTGATGTCAGTGCCATTCTCTGCAGCATCTTGCTGTGAGTCCAGGCCCACGTGGTGATGCTCCCTCAGGGGTGAAGCCTTGACTTTCTGGGCTCACAAGAAGTAAATGACACCAGGCAGGAGAGGATGACTGGTGAAGTGGGACATCACGAGAGATAAGTATTGCAGCGTGTAATGGAACCGATCCCAGACTGCACTTGGGTACTTCCGTTAGACTACCGCTTCCCCGTCCGAACACCGACAACAGACACCACAGCTGACCATGCAAGACTAGACAACACCAGTCTTGAAGTAGTCCAGAAAGTAGACTAGTTTATTTGAACACAGATACAAGTTATATACACTCAAGGGAACGATCCCCCCTCCCTGCATAATGACACAGGGCGGGGCAATCTGCATTTAGTAACAAGAGACACACAACAGACAGTCTCATCAGAAGGGAGGGCTGCTGGAGACCCCCCCCCCCCCACCAAGCCAATACACATAAACACATACATCCCATAATAGTTTGCTCCCAAGCAAGACACAGAATAGAACAATGGGATGCAACTACATGACATTGAACAATCTACAACCCCCACCCCACCTAGACATGTCTACACAATATTAGGATAGATCCCCCTGTACCCCTAACAGGCACAGGGTGACTTACACATAAGAGGGATATGGGGAGCTGAGACAGGGGTCTCCCCACCTCTCCACAGTGAGCTGTGTTCCATGGGTCCCCCACCCAAAGTGACTCCCGTCACATAGCGAAAGCTACATTTGTTATTTTTACAAACTGCAGGCCTGCAGTTTTACTTTATATTTCATTTTCCATTGTTTTTACATTTAAAACCATTTTTTTATCTGATGTATACTGAACAGTGGGGTTTTGAGTCCCTTTTAAATGCCACAAACCGCAGGACAGGTGAAGAATAATATTGCTTTTCTTTTACAGGTTGGCCTCGTTTGTAGTTTTTTTTTTTTTTTCAAATCCCTTCAAAAGAATCCTAAATTCTCCTCTTTGCTCTCTCTCCAGCATGGAGCATCTGTCGATCTCTGCAATGTGAAAGGGAACACAGCACTACATGAGTCCGTCCGCAGGAATCACGAGGGGTTGGTGAAGCTGCTGCTGTTATATGGGGCGGCGGTGGACACCAGGAATAAACGGCAGTACTCCTCTTTGGACTATGCAAAAGAGGTACACCATCTCATTCATGATGTAAATAATTTAAGAGTACCTGTCCAGTATGAAAAAAAACATGGTCATCTTAACCTCTTGGCGCCGGCTGAACGCAAATGTGTGGCCTCCCGGCGTATGGGCCTAGACGCCCAGCAGCCGCACATTTGCGTTCTGTTAAGAAAAGACACATGTGCTGAGAGCGTGTCCTGCTCACTCCCAGCACACATGTCCGGTACTCACGGAAAGGTCCCGATCTCCTCTTTCGATCGGGACCTTTCCCGATCATGTGACCGCTGTGACGTTGTGTCACGGCGGTCACATGACTCTAAACCCCGCCCTGCCTCCCGGCTTCTGAAACCCTTAAAGGACCGGGAGGCGCCGGCGCTAAGGAGTTAATTCTTCTACTGACAGCAGTCTTATGCTGGGTGCACATCATCAGTTTTTTTTTTTTTTTTTTTTTTGTTTTGTTTTGTTCAACCCAGCGGCTGAACGAAAAAAAAACTGAAGAGCTCGAGAGGAGCTTGCTGTACTAACTATCCGATGTCAGTACAACGATCTCCCCACTGAGTTATGTACTGACAGGGGGACTGCCCCCTCCATAACACACCAGTCAGCTCTGACATCCATTGGGCTGTCCGCAGTGATCGAATGCTGGTTTTCCAGCATGCCCATGCTACAGAAGCAGGCCGGACAGGCAGGTGTACACATGGGCCGAATGTTGGCCGGTTTCTATTGATCTGGCCGATAGTCGACCCATGAGTACGGGGCTTAATTGTGTATAAAGAGGCAATACCCTGCCTCTTAATTTCTCTGTCCGAGACCTGGTTTTAACCTCTATGTAAGCTGTGACCGTATTTGGGTCCAGAAATTGGCCTCTCAGACCAGAGCACTCTATCCTGGCTAGTAACAGGAGGAGGTCACATGCTCCTCCATACCCAGAAGTACTGTATGTTTCCAAGGACACTGACAGACAGATAAACCATCAGAGGAGCATAGGGAATGTGCATATCAGCACGTGGGGGGTGGCCTGATTGGACAAAGTGACGGATTATCTTTAACAGCTTCCCGTCCGCCCTATAGCAGAAATGCTACAGGGTGGAAGGGGGGTGCAAAATCACGTGTATATATACGTGATTATGCAGTTCCGAGGAAGGGAAAGCGCGCGCACCCTACCCCGCGCCGCAATTCGCGGCCTCGGCTGTCAATCATCGGGTCCCGGCTGGTGATTACTCGCCAGCACCCGGTGATCGCCGAGTATTTCCGACGGGGGAGGAGAGAACTGTATGTAAACAATACAGTTCTCTCCCCTGTCAGCTCCTGCCCACTGCTTTGTATGGCTCTGCATAGCAGTGTGCTTACAGTTGAAAGCACACACAGCACATAGTGTGAAACAGCACACAGTTAACCCTTTGATCGCCCCAGATGTTAACTCCTTCCTGCCCAGTGCCATTAATACAGTGTCAGTGCTTTTTATTAGCACTGATCAATGTATTGTGTCACTGGGGATGTCGGTGACACCAAGTCCATTTCCCCCCCAGTGTCAGAATTCCCAACGCAGTCCCACAGTTGCTGATTGCTGCCATTACTAGTGAAGAAACAAACATATTAATTTACACGTATTGGGATTTTCTTTAGCAAAGACATGTCGCCGAATACATTTTGGCCTAAATTTACGACGAAATTTGATTTTTTAAGTTTTTTTATTGGACATGTTTAATAGCAAAAAGTCAAAAATATTGTTTTTCTCAAAAGTGTCAGTCTTTTTTTGGTTATAGCACAAAAAATAAAAACCACAGAGGCGATCAAATACCACCGAAAGAAAGCTCTTTTTGTGGGGGAAAAAAAGGATTATTTCATTTGGGTGCAGTGTCGCATGACTGCGCAATTGTCAGTCAAAGTAACGCAGCGCTGTAATGCTAAAAAATGGCCTGGTCAGGAAGGGGGGGGGGGGGGGGGTAAATCCTCTAGAGGGAAAAAGATTAAAGCCTGTTGTATTCTCCATGTGTTTGGCGCACACTGCTGTTGTTAAATTTCAGAGAGAAAGCGATGAGATACATCGTTTTAGCCACAGTCTCATGCTGTGGCTTTCTGGGTCATTATTCCCTCACCTTCAACTTATTAGAAAACTACTTTAACCTCCTTAGCGGTATTCCCGAGTGTAGCTCGGGGTAAAATTTGAGTACCAAGAGCGGTAACCCCGAGCTACACTCGGGCTTACCATGCGGCGTTGCTCAGGGAGTCCCTGCAGCACTTACCTTGTCCTTCGCTCCCGCGATGTGTCCCCTGCAGCGTCCCTGGCCATCTCATCCGGCCGATGCCGGCATCCGGCTTCCGTGTTCCGGTCCCTGTGACGTCGGGACGGCGGCAAATTTTAAATTTTTAAAAAATTTCATTTTTTTAAAAAATGATTATTACATAGTAAAACATTGCTGTTTCAATGCATTTCACATATAGTTTGTCCCTACTGCTTTGTCCTGTCCCCTGCCTGCATTTTGACTGTTCTTTCTGCCTGGAAACTTAGAAAAGTCCATGACGTCCAAAAAGCGTCCCTTTACGTCAAAAGCGGTTTTAGACCGGCTAGAGAACAGCGATAGTAAATCAGAACCACTTGCAGAATTGAGTGATAATGATTCGTGGGGGAAATTCCTCATCAGACACTGAAAACGATTTTGCGACTTTGCTCAGCGATGTGCGAATTTGCCTCTGTATTTCAAATTTCAGTGTTTTTGGTTTGATTATATTATTGAATTAAATTTATTATTATTATATTATTATTTTTTTTATGATTTTTTATTAAATTATAATTTATGATTTCGTGTTTCAAATTTTATCCTATCCGGGATGTTTACTAGACTCTTGTTCGGACAGATTTCAGTGAGTTATTCCTGAAAATTACAGGCCTACAATAAAAAACTACATATTTCCATGCAAAAAAAATGGTACCGCTTTCAGCACAAAAAATCGGAAATAATCAGACTGCCGAGGAGGTTAAGGTGCATTGGTCTCTCCTAAAATGAAAACGTAACTTTCCTACACGACAAGCCACTGTCAAGTGGCATGATAAATCACACTGGTGTGAACCAGGGCTTTATGTACATGTTTGTGTGTGTTAAATATACTGTACTTTTTTTTTTTTTTTTTTTTTTTTCTTTGTTTATTTAAAATGACTATTTCCACTGATGGACATGCTTTATTGTTTGAATTTTTTTCCTTTTTAGAACACCAAAATCAAACAGCTTCTTCTCTCTGCACTCCACAGTGCAGTAGCTAATATCGGGTCAGTGGCATCACTGGAGCAATCGCAGCATATTAGAAAGAAATGTAAGTTTGCTGTTTAAGAAGGGGAACTCGTGCACAGAGGCGGACTGACAACTCATGGGGCCCCTGGGCAATAAGGAATCATGGGGCCCTGTGTCCTTGTTCAAACTCAAAAAAGCCTATGAAAAGGGTACCAGGGGCATCTCATGGGGCCCCCTACTGATCCCGGGCAGTGCCCGAGTTTCCAAATGGTCAGTCCGCCCCTGCCCGTGTATGGATCATCTAGAACTATTTTTATATCGTGGGTGTGTGGTGGGCTGCAGCACATTATATGTAATACAACCTCTGTCCCCAGCAGTTCAGAGTACTTCAGGAGAGGAAGGGTAGATAGAAGATAAAAGAAGTGCTACAGCATCGCAGAATATTTTGACAGAGAACAGGTAGACAAAGGAGTCCTCCAGCAGTACAGAGTAGAATCAAGCATTCCTTGAGCGAATATTCTCTGGTTCAAAATTTGATCAGTGAGGGGCCCTGATGGCACCCTCTCACTCGACATCCTTCAGTTGAAAAGTAGAGTTAGATGGAGGAAGCAGCAGAGCCTTCCAGCAGCACAGAGTATTTCAGGAGAGCAGAGGTAGATATTTAACCGCTTCCTGTCCACCCTATAGCAGAAGTACTGCTACAGGGCGGCACGGGTGCGCAAAATCACATATACACACACACACATATAGATATATATATATATCTATATGTGTGTGTGTGATTTTGCATTTCTGGGTAGGGGGCGTGTTCCCTACCCACGCCGCCATTTGCGGCTACGACTGTCAATCACCAGGTCCAGTTCGGTGATTAGTCGCTGGCACCCGGTGATTGCTGTGCATCTCTGACGGGGGGGGGGGGGGAGAACTGTTTGTAAACAAAATAGTTCTCTCCCCTGTCAACTCCTGCACACTGCTTTGCATGCAATTTTCTCTGCTCCCAGTACTGAAGGGGGGAATAAAAAAAAAAAAGTCTAAGCAGGTGCGCGGAGGGATGCAGTTAATGGAGCATCTAAAGCTAAAACTTTTTTTTTTTTTTTCCCCCCCCTATTTTAGGTAGGGGGTTACCCCTTCCCATCTCTATCAGTTGTTTTTGCAAAGATATATACGTGATTTTGCATTTGTCACCATTCGCAGCTGTCAAGCACCGGGTCCTGGCCGGTGATTACTCGCCGGCTCCCAGTGATTACCGAGTATCTCTGATGGGGAGGAGAACTGTTTTGTTTACTAACCGTTCTCCTCCCTGTCAGCTCGAGCACACTGCTTTGCATGGCTCTGCATAGCACAGCTAGTAGAGTCCTCCAGCAGTGCAAAGTATTTCAGAAGAGTAGGATACACTCAGCAGTGCAGAGCTTTTCAGGAGAGGAGAGATAGAGGAAAGAGCAGAGTCCTTCAGCAGTGGAGAGTATTTCAGGAGAGGAGAGTTATAGAGGAAGGAGGAGAGTCCTCCAGCAGTGCAGAGTATTTCAGGAGAGGAGAGTTAAATGGAGGAAGGTGCAGAGTCCTCCAGCAGTGCAGAGTATTTCAGGAGAGGAGAGTTAGATGGAGGAAGGAGCAGAGTCCTCCAGCAGTGCAGAGTATTTCAGGAGAGGAGAGTTAAATGGAGGATGGTGCAGAGTCCTCCAGCAGTGCAGAGTATTTCAGGAGAGGAGAGTTAGATGGAGGAAGGTGCGGAGTCCTCCAGCAGTGCAGAGTATTTCAGGAGAGGAGAGTTAGAGAGGAAGGAGCAGAGTCCTCCAGCAGTGCAGAGTATTTCAGGAGAGGAGAGTTAGATGGAGGAAGGTGCAGAGTCTTCCAGCAGTGCAGAGTATTTCAGGAGAGGAGAGTTAGATGGAGGAAGGTGCAGAGTCTTCCAGCAGTGCAGAGTATTTCAGGAGAGGAAAGTTAGAGGAAGGAGCAGAGTCTTCAAGGATCGCAGAGATTGTGACCAGTTTGTAAATACGCAATTAATTTAATCCGAAATGTATCTTCTTTTCAAGCCGCAAATTCCAGCTTGAGTTGCTCAGAATCGCCTTCTTCACCTGGACGGAGTGATGTTACGCAACCCAAGTAAGTTCTGCTACCCCAACCACCAACCCACTTTCTTCCTTCACAGAACTGTGTTAGTTTTTCAGTAAAGTTGCTCTTAGAGACTGCTTAGCATGCTTTTGTAATGTTCTTTTGTTAAATGGAGGTTAAAGGGCTATTTGCCCTTGCCTTGTAATCCATTGCCTTCCACTCTCCCATTACACGTGCTTTACAGAGAAGATTTGGGGATTGCCTTTGTGGAGGATTTGTCCATTAAGCATAATGGGAAACGATAAAAGTGGCTTATTTTTCATGCAAACAGATGGTCTTCTCACATATATGAGCAGCACGAGGCAGACTTAGTGTGAGAGGTGAAAGGCTCTGCCAGTCATGTAGGAGGATGGTGCAGCTATAATTTGAAGGAAATAAGTATTTTTCCCCTGCTGATTTTTGAATGTTTGCCCACTCACAAAGAAGTGATCGGTCTAAAAATCGAATGTTCGGTGTATTGTAACCCTGAGAGACAGAATAGCAACAAAAAATTCAGCAGAAATGCATGTCTAACAAATGATGACTGATCTGCATGTTCATGAGGGAAATAAGTATTTGATCCCCTTCACAAAATATGACTTAGTACTTGGTGGCAAATCCCTTGTTGGCAATCACAGAGGTCAGACGTTTCCTGGAGTTGGCCCCCAGGTTCGCACACATCTCAGGAGGCATTTTGGCTTACTCCTCTTGGCAGATCCTCTCCAAGTCATTAAGGTTTGGTGGCTGACGTTTGGCAACTCGAACTTTCAGCTCCCTCCACAGATTTTCAATCGGATGAAGGTCTGGAGACTGGCTAGGCCACTCCTGGACCTTAATGTGCTTCTTCTTGAGCCACTCCTTTGTTGCCTTGGCCGTGTGTTTTGGGTCATTGTCATTATGGAACACCCATCCGGGACCCATTTTCAATGCCCTGGCTGAGGGAAGAAGGTTCTCATCCAAGATTTGATGGTACATTACCCCGTCCATCGTCCCTTTTGATGCGGTGCAGTTGTCCTGTCCCCTTAGCAGAAAAACACCCCCAAAGCAGAATGTTTCCACCACCATGTTTCACAGTTGGGATGGTGTTCTTGGGGTCATAGGCAGCATTCCTCCTCCTCCAAACATGGCGAGTTGAGTTGATGCCAAAGAGCTCGATTTTGGTGTCATCTGACCTCAACACTTTCAACCAGTCCTCCTCTGCATCATTCAGATGTTCAGTGGCAAACTTCAGACGGGCCTGGACATGTGCTTTCTTGAGCAGAGGGACCTTGCGGGCACTGCAGGATTCCAGTCCTTGTTGGCGTAGTGTGTTTCCAATTGCTTTCTTGGTGACTGTGGTCCCAGCTGCCTGGAGATCATTGACAAGATCCTCACGTGTAGTTCTGGGATGATTCCTCACTTTTCTCATGATCATTGACACTCCGCGAGGTGAGATCTTGCATGGTGCACCAGACCTAGGGAGACTGACACTTGTTTTGTGTTTCTTCCATTTGTGAATGATTGCACCAACTGTTGTCACCTTCTCACCAAGCTGCTTGGCCATAGTTTGGTAGCCCAGTCCAGCCTTGTGTAGGTCTACAATCTTGTCCCTGACATCCTTGGACAGCTCTTTGGTCTTTGCCATGGTGGAGAGTTTGGAATCTGATTGTCTGATTGCTCCTGTGGACAGGTGTCTTTTATACAGGGAACACAATGAGATTAGCAGCACTCCTCAGCTAATCTCTAATCTCAGCTTGTTACACCTGGAAGCCAGAAATCCTGCTGAATGATAGGGGATCAAATACTTATTTCCCTCATGAACATGCAAATCAGTGCATCATTTGTTTGACATGTATTTCTTTTGAAATTTGTGTTTCTATTCTGTCTCTCAGTGTTACAATACACCGAACATTCGATTTTTAGACCGATCATTTCTTTGTGAGTGGGCAAACATTCAAAATCAGCAGGGGATCAAATACGCATTTCCTTCACTGTATACTGCAGTGTATTCAGCATGCCCATTCCAATGCAGTCAATGATATTCTAATGTCAGGCAAAACTGTTCTGCACACTTAAGCACACCATACACACTTAAAAATTTGTCTGGTTCAGCAGGGACTGGGCTAATCCGTGTGTGGTTATCCGTGTCGCTGGGACATTGTATTCTGACCGCAGGACCTGCTTGTTAGAATCTCGTTCAGATTTTTTTGCTGCCTGTATTCTAAAATGGGGTGCCTCTAGACTGTCCATAATGTTAACAGGGCACCCCATTCTAAAATGTGAAAAACTATTCTAAGTTCTATATAACACAGCAACATCCACACACATAGGACACCCAACACTAGAGATGATTTATTCTTCCAAAGTAAATACACTTTTGCATGCTGGTACTGACTAGTATTCCATTGTTTCTTTTCTCCCTTAGTTTTTCTCAATCACTGTGCTAATGTGACCCCAGCACTGATGGAGAGGGGCGGGGGGAGGGTCAAACCTGGATTCTGTGCAGGCAGCTGACACCCTCCTTATCAACTGATGATGTCATTGGTTGTCAGGACGCCGGCGGCTGGAAGGTCGTAATGGTGCACAATGAAAACCTGTGGCTTTGTGTAACTAAAAGGCCGGCTTGTTCCACCCGCTGGCTTGTATACAAGTTGTGGGCAATTTTTAGACATTTTGCCAAAGCACCCCTGAAGAAACCTCAAGGCACCCCAGGGTGCCTGGGCACCCTGGTTCAGAAAGGCTGAGCTATAGTATGCCTGCGTGTGGATTTCCCTGTCTTTGAAGAGCTTTTCTCTCACTTCCGGCTTTAGCTTTAGGACAGGAAATGAAAGGAACTCTCCCCCAATGGGACTTACCAACAGAAGTTTTTCATATTCTGTCCAATCTAGAGGAAAAGTTTTGGCTATACATACACTTTAGAATAAAAATTGATAGGGATGCACCAAAATTTTGGCGGCCAAAACATTGGCCGAAAATAGCCGAGCCGATAGGAAAATTTTCGCCGATAGGGGGGTATGTGTACTGCATGAGGGTTGGCAGAGAATGGCAGGAGAGGAGCCGTGTACATAGTGAGATACTACTAAATGTCACTGTCGTGACCGGCTTTTTTTCCCCCCTTTCACTATAGCTCCAAGAATGAGCTGTCACCCTCTCCTCCGCTAAGAGAGGTGGGGGGGTCACTGGGTAATGTCACTGGGTGTCCCTGCCCCTTAAAGGAGGAGAGGATGACAGCACCGGCATTGTCTTGAAATGTAATTACCTGCTTTTTTCCTTGCTAAAGCTCCAAGAATGAGCTGTCACCCTCTACTCCACTAAAGGAAACTAAGGGGCGGGGTTAGTTTCCTTTATCAGAGCAGAGGATGACAGCTCATTCTTGGAGCTTTAGCAAGGAAAAAAAAAGCCGGTAATTACATTTAAAAACCGGCAGTGGCATAGGGGCAGCCAGCGAGGGAGCCTGAGTGTATACACTGCTCCCTCACTATATACACGGCTCCTCTCCTGCCCCCTCTTTGCACACATTGCTTTCTCCCCTACAAAGAGGACCTGTCACTCATATGCTATCACATAGTGGACTATCGGTCCCCTATGTGATAGCAATATCATAAGTTTAACCACTTCCAGTCTGGATACTTTCACCTCCTTCCAGTCCAGGCCAATTTTCAGCTTTCAGCGCTGTCACACTTTGAATGACAATTGCGCGGTCATGCAACACTGTACCCATATGAATTGAGACAGATAAAACTTTATTTTGTTGGTATTTATTCACCACTGGGATTTTTTTTTTTTTTGCAATATGAATGAAAAAGTACAAAAATTTTCAAAAAAAAGTTTGTTATAAAATTTTCGTAAATCTTGGCCAAAATGTATTCAGCTATCTTTTTAGTAAAAAAAAAAATAACCCAAATTAGTTTATAACCAAAAATTATAATTCTTCAAAAAACGTTTTACTTTTTCTTTATATTATTATTTGGGTTTTTTTTTTGTTTTTATAAACATACTGTCACCCTAGCAGTACAGTGTCATGGTGACACTGTACTACTTGTGGGGGGTGATGAAGATTTTTTTTTTTTTTTACACCGATTGCTTTTACACCCATGAAGGCTGTAAAAGCAATCATTTCTCCTCTCTGGCTGCATTCTTAGAGCCATAGAGAAATACTTTGTGAGCTGTGATTGGTCACAACTTCTCACATGGTAGAAGACTGTTGTGAATAGCCCTGTACCATGTGACCTCTGTGATGATTCACAGATTTCACACGTAGTAAGCAATGTCCTCAGGAGTGACATCTTGCTTATTACTATTCATGTAATCACTGATTGGCCAATCAGTGATCACATGATCGGGACCTCACACAGAGGTCCCATACGAAGATCGGTGTTCCACTGTGTCCGGAGGACACAGCGGGCACTGGATTGCGGTGCTACACAAGCAGGGGGCGGGGAGGCCGTTTATAAACGGCCACCCGACCCTGCACTGCCATCGTCTGGCCGTTTATATACAACAGCCGAATGGGAGGTGGTTAAACATACTGTTACCCTAGCAGTACAGTGTCATCATGGTGACACTGTACTACTTGTGAGGGGTGAGGAAGATTTTTTTTTTTTTTTTTTTTTTTTGTTACACTGATTGCTTTTACACCCATAAAGGCTGTAAAAGCAATCATTTCTCCTTCTCTCTGGCTGCATTCTTGCAGCCATTGAGAAATACTGTGAGAGCTGTGGTTGGTCACAGCTTGTCACATGGTACAAGACTGTTGTGAATAGCCTTGTATCATGTGATCTTGGTGATCATTCACAGATTTCACACGTAGTAAGCAATGTCGTCAGGAGTGACATCTTGCTTATTACTATTCATGTGATCACTGATTGGCCAATCAGTAATCACATGATCGGGACTTTACACAGAAGTACAGCGATCAGTGGACCCAGCAGACCCTGGATCGTGGTGTCGCGCGCCCCCAGGGAGTGCGCACAGGCTAAAATGGCGGGCACCGTTTATGAACGGCAACCTGCCCCTGCACTGCTTCCGTCCGGCTGTTTATTTATTTATATATATATATATATATATATATATATATATATATATATATATATATATATATATATATATATATATATATATATATATATATATATATGGACCAGACAGGAAGTGGTTAAAAAAAAAAATATACAGTAAAGTTTTTTTTTTTAAAAATGCAAAAAGTACATTTGAGCCTCCCCACCCCCACATATGCAGACATTTCGGTTTCGGCCACATGCATTCTGAATTTTCGGTATCAGTTTCGGCACCAGATTTTTCATTTCGGCGCACCACTGAAAATTGATATAAGGAATCCTGATCATTACAGCTTAGTAATTTCTATTAGGTTAAAGCAATGTTAATCGTGTTTCTTCTGCTGTCCTAAACTACATGGGGGATTCGTAGGTAATATTTTTACTAATAAGTTCGCCTTGGATTTACCCCTGAAGAGTCGCAGTCACATGAAGAATGTCTGCTTTATGGGTTACCTCTTTATATACATAGGGCTGCACAGACTTCCATTTCTCTCTGTTTTTGAATTGCAGATGCACAAGCACAAAAAAGCCAATCCGCAGGGATAAAAGTATGCCAAACTTTGATGAAGATTTATTAAATCAGGTATGGACACTCATTAATATGTGTTTGTAAATCTTAAAGCTGAACCCTGGGCACAAAAATTAATTCAATAGCCAGAAAGGATATAAATGTATGTTGTGTGCAACAAATACTTTTTGCAACCTAAGATATTACCTTGTAAATGTGGCAGTGACATCATCACATAGCCTTGGGCAATAGTGGGAGGAGCCTGGTAGGCCCCACCTACCTGCCTGCAGAACACTACAGGAGGGGGCGGAGACCAGACCAGTCACTTTGCATAAGGAGAGAGCAGTAGTAAGCGGTTTTTATTCCAGGAAGTCTCACACTGGATTATTGCACAGATGTGAAAGAAATACACAAAGCACACCGAGATTTAAAGAAGAATACACGACGAATGTATTTAGATGATTATCCCGGAGTTCAGCGTTTGTTGTGTTTGTCCTGTGGTGAATTTAATAAGCTATTAGGACTTTATAGACGAGCCATCATTAAATGGCCGACCACGGTCCAAACACAGACTGAGCGCGCTCCTGCTTGGGCTGTCAGCCTGCCAGTCTACACTGGCCAACTTCGCCACTGAGCAGTCATTGGTTCCTGGAACCGCAGGCATCCCAGCAACCAATGATGTCATGTGTGCTCCCCACCCTCTGCAGCTCGCCCTGCTGGCCTGACAGCAGGGTATAGCGTGATGTCATGGTTGTTCCCCGCCCCCTTAACAAGGTTTTTGGCACAGGTCCCGCCCCTGCAGCTCGCTACCTCTGCCAGCTCCCACTTGCCCTCAAGGTATGTATATGTGCACTTCAAAGAAATTTACAGGGAGCATAATGATGTTCAGGGGGAACTCTGATGGGCACGTTATGTTGTGCCTATCTCTCCTTGGTGCTGCCATCTTCACTGTGGGCACCCGGCTGTGACAGCTTGCAGCTTCACAGACAGGTGCCCACTGCGCAAGCGTGAGAAGCTCTGCTCTTTTTGAATGGCCCTGTAGTCTTCTGAGACCTGTCACGTTTCCCAGAAGACTATGGGAAGGGAGGGCAACTTCCGCTTCCGATCGCCTAGGCCAGTGGTCGGCAAGCCGCGGGTCGCGAGCCACACGCGGCTCTTTACACATTTTAATGCGGCTTTTCTGTGTGCCGGGCGCCCGCTCCCCTCCCTCCTCTCGGGCGGCCGAGGACTCTGCAGCTAGCCCAGCAATGATTGGCCAGTCTCGCTGCCACTCACATCCTGATAGCTAGTGATTGGCTGTCAGGATGTGTGTAGGCGGGGCAGCGTGACGAACGTGAGGGGAGCTAGGCTCCTCTCACAGTCCGCCCTGAAGACCGGAACGGCGTGGGGAACACGGCGAGAGGAACGCGCGGAGCAAAGGTAAGTGAATTGACACAGGGGGGACTTGGCTTACTACTTGCTACTTACTTACTACTACTATATGAGGGATGAATTAATATGGGGGATGAATTACTATATGGGGGATGAATTACTATATGGGGGATGAATTACTATATGGGGGATGAATTACTATATGGGGGATGAATTACTATATGGGGGATGAATTACTATATGGGGGATGAATTACTATGGGGGATGAATTACTATGGGGGATGAATTACTATAAAAACTTATTGAAACTAAAAACAGTGTACCATCCTATGTATTTTCAGTTTAATGTGGCTCTCAAAATAAATTTCAATCGTGGTTTTGGCGAGATTTGGCTCAGTTGAAAAAAAAGGTTGCCCACCACTGGCCTAGGCGATCGCAGAGGAAGTGGGAGCGGGTACCTGTCAAATTTGGGTACCTGCTCCACCCCCAGGTGGCAATGCTTAATGGGGAGCCGGGTACAAAGGCTTAAAGCGGAACTTCCCCTTTCGGGTGGAGCTCCGCTGTAAGTCACGTCCGTTGGCTTCCCTCTCTCCACAGGCTTGCACTGAGATAGGAGTGTCATTGCAGTGGTGTCATTTAGCTGCTGTACAAAAACACAGCGCATGTGTATTGGGTAAAAATGACTGCCGCCATGTGCAAAGTGGATCAATTGAAAGGGTATGGTGGACAATTAACCAAACAAATGGGGGGGAGCTGGTGTTAGGGAGTTGACAGTGGACTTGGGGAAGTGCCTGAGTTGGTTTTAAGGCTGCATTCACACTTCAGTGTTTTGAAGCTCCAAAAACGCTCAAACTTAAAAAAAAATCAGTTGTTCTCCATGGTGCCTGTTCGTGTATCAGATGTGAACAGGCACCATACAGAACAGTCGATTTTTTAAATTTGAGCTTTTTTTTGGAGCTTCAAAACGCTCAAGTGTGAATGCAGCCTCAGACTGTAGCAGTTGGGCATGCAGTATTTTTGGAAGGGGGCCAGTAGCATCCACTCACAAGGTTCACTTTAACCGCTCTAAGTTTTTTCCCTTTTTTCTTTTCCAGCTCTCCATCAGCAGACTGGAAGACAGTCAGGGGACATCCGACATCAGAGGTTGCATCGAATTCACAGAAAGCTGTAAAGCAGACGAGCTGGACTTGGCGGTAAAGGCCATCAAGTTCATAGCTAGAAGGCACAGCCTAAACGTAGCTTGCGCACTAGACAGCGAGGAGACCACCAGCGACCTCAGCGACACGGTGACTGATATCAGCTCTCCTCTATCCGAAACGTTCAGGCAGGACTCCGACGACGAGGTGCGCAACCAAGAACTGTCTGACATGAAATCGCTTACGGGCTCAGAAGCTGCGGGCGACGCCCCGAAAGTCGATGACCTCGAGTGCTCCGGGGGGCCTGAATGCTGCTGCGTAGCTTGTACCTTAGCTCTAGAATCTTCCTGGTCTGTTGTGGATTCTAGTAGCCCCTGCGATGGTCCCGACCAAGAAGACTGCAGCGGGCTCAATACCTAGCACTGTGGCGGTATGACACTTCAATGCCAAGTGTATTGACGGACAACTTGCGCTTCTCCGGTGTCTGAGGAACTGCTAGCTAAAGCATTATCAGGCCATGCTGGGGCCTGTAGTTCCTCAACAGCTGAAGGACTAAGCTGTAGGGCTCACTTATCTGCTGCTGAGGTTCACCCAGGGAATGTGGTGGTTTTGTTATATGATTTTGCAAGATGGGGATTTCACAGAACAAAGTATTATGTAGATGATTGTGCAAAGATAATTAAAATCTGAGAAAGAGAGGTTACCTGCAAATGTTTATAGAGATCGAGTTTTCATCAAACAGAATGAACACACACTCCCTATTCTACATAAACCATTCTTGCTGCAGCAAGGGAGATGGTTCTACAAACAACAAGACCAGGGGCGAACTGACAACTCATGGGGCCCCCGGGCAATAGGGGATCATGGGGCCCCTGTGTCCTTGCCCAAACTCTAAAAAGCCTATGAAAAAGGTACCAGAGGCATCTCATGGGGCCCCCTACTGACCCCGGGCCCTTGGGCAGTGCCCGAGTTTCCAAATGGTCAGTCCGCCCCTGAACAAGACACTGCAGATCGGGAATCTTGCCCGGTCCCGACATGCACAGTGACAATCCAAACCGATCGGTCCACATAGTTCTCTTCTCAGCCACGGCTTTTATGTTGTTATTATTATACAGGATTTATATATTATTATTATTTTACAGGATTTATGGCGCCAACAGTTTGCTCAGCACTTTACAATATAACGGGAGACAATACAGTTCAATACAAGAGGGATAGGAGGGCTCTGATCCTGGGAGCTTACAATCTAAGAGTAAATCGTATGTACAGGCAAACATACATCAACAGAAAAGGAACCTTGACATGTTATGCACAAAGTGTTTAACCCCTTGCCCTCCTGAAGGTAAAAAAAAAACACCCTTCTACCCATCCTACCCACCCCAATCCCTAAACACTTCCCTGATTCCTATCACCACTCCGCCATTGTCTCAGCTGTAGCACCACTCCCCTCACATTTTTTCACAGGAGACACAGACTCTTACTGCTGTCAATCTCCTGTGAGTAGGGAGCAGGGGCGTGGCTTACTAATGCTATGTGTGTCTATGGACGCGCAAAGCTCGGCTTGGGACTCTACGAGCATGGGTTACTCCTTTGTACCCGGCTTGCTAAAGGGGCACTCAGAAGAGGGAGACACATACAGCGCTAGAAGAGGACTGCCTAAAGAGGAGGTAAAGGACCTTGCACAGAGAAGGTAAGTTATCTTAACAGAAAAAAACCTTTTAGTATCACTTTAATTGTAAAGATGACAAAAAAGCAAAACATATCGAGGGTCCCCTTCTATTGGTGCCTCAAAGTGTGGGTTAGATGTTGTGGAACTTTGGTTGAATGATGTAATCCAATGGTATGATATAGGTCAGGGGTCTCCAAACGTTCTACACAAAGGGCCAGTTTACTATTTACTAACTTTAAGACCGCCAGACTATGCCCAGTGGGAGTAAACATCTTTGGTAATAGGGGGAGAAATAGTGCCCCTTTGTTGGTGTCATTGGGAGGAATGGGGCCCTATCACTGGTGTCAGTCAGAGGAATAGTATCCCATCACTGGTGTCAGTGGGAGGAATAGGACCCCATCACTGGTGTCAGTGGGAGGAATAGGACCCCATCACTGGTGTCAGTGGGAGGAATAGTGTCCCATCACTGGTGTCAGTGGGAGGAATAGGGCTCCATCGTTGTTGTCAGTCGGAGGAATAGTGTCCCATCACTGGTGTCAGTCGGAGGAATAGTGTCCCATCACTGGTGTCAGTCGGAGGAATAGTGTCCCATCACTGGTGTCAGTCGGAGGAATAATGCCTCAAGGGCTGGACAAAGTCAAGTAAATGGCTGCATTTGGCCCCCATGCCACAGTTTGGAGACTACTGATATAGAGAATGTAACCATATCAGGCTTTCAACTTTTGCACATCTGAGGATTATCTCCGGCCATGACTGAGATGGGTAAATGGAGAACTGGAGGGCCACACCCTAATACTGGATTCCAAAGGATATGTTTATTCCAGACTTAATTTCTATCTTAAAGCTAGTGCATTTGGAGGGCTCTACCCCACCCCCTCCTTGATCACAGCTCAAAAACTACATAAAAAGTACATTCGGTCCTTTTTTAATTTTGTTTCAACCCTGATGAAGGGGGGTACAGCCCCCGAAACGCGTTGGAAACAATATATGCATGCAGTAAACCTAAATTTCGGACTTTCAAATTATGGTGTGGTGCTTCCATTCTAAATTCAATCATATCTCTTGTGGATATCCGTTTTCCTGTGCATACACCTTACACTAACCTACAGCTGAGCAGAGAACTATGACGACGTCTCGTTTTGGATTATGTACAGCAGGGGTGTCAAACTGGCGGCCCTCCAGCTGTTGCGAAACTACAAGTCCCATCATGCATTTGCCTTTGGGAGTCATGCTTGTAACTGTCGATCTTGCAATGCCTCATGGGACTTGTAGTTTGGCAACAGCTGGAGGGCCGCCGGTTTGACTCCCGTGGTGTACACTATTATAATGAAACTGCAGTCCTGACTATCAGCTACTGACCTGCAGCAGGATGCTGGGAGTAGAATGGGTATTTTGTGGTAACAATGGTTGGAGCTGAGCCCTGATTGGGCTCCTTCTTCCAGATAGCAGCAAGCCAGAGCCTGGTCTGTCCCGTATTTGTACCATGTGCTTCCCCAATGCCTAAAGGGGGGGGGGGGGCACGGAGCTAAATGGCTCACCGCAAAAGCCTGCTCAGGAATGCTTTTCTTTGCAGCACAATGAGGGGTTGAGGTCACTCTTCGGGACTGGACTGGTTTAGGGGCCGTAGTGTCTAAAAATGTATCTGTACCCGAGACATTTTTGGGTTTTGGATAGAATGGGGAATGGACTAGAACCCCTGTAAGGTTTTACTGCTATCCAGGACCCTCTTGGAGAGATTTCTACCCCCCCTTTTTGTTCTGGGGATAAATTTACCAGACAGGAAGTGAGCGAAAACCTGCACCAGGGTAATGGATGACAATCAGAAGCCGAGAGGGGTTCTAGTCTTCCCTTACTTAACCACTTGGCGCCGGCCACACGCAAATGTGCGACCTCCCGGCGTCTGGGCCTCGACACCGAGCAGCCGCACATTTGCATGCAATTAAAAAAAAACGTGCTGAGAGCGCGTCCGGTACTCAGAAAGGTCCCAATCTTCTCTTTCGATTGGGACCTTTCCCGATCATGTGACGGTGAATCGTGGCGGTCACATGACCCTAAAACCCTTTTCCTGGCTTCTGAAACCCTTAAAGGGCTGGGAGGCACCGGCGCCAAGGGGTTAAAGTGCACCTGCAATGCATCTGAACACCACAAAGGAAAAGATGCTTTACAATCCATGTTTATTATTCAAAACAAACCTCTCCACCCGTCCTTGTCTCCATGCTTTATTTTGCTGAGAAATCCTTTTGAAAAAAAAAAAAACACCACCTGGCATTTCTGGCAGTGGCCATCTTGAATAAGGGCAGATGATTCATGTCGCAGTTACTTCCTGGAATCCATCTGTCCTTGGCTCGGGCATTGGCTGAGCTGAGAACCCTCCCTCCCCTCTTGAAGGACTCCTGGATGTATGACATTGTTTGCCTAGGCCTGGAAAACGGGAAGTAAATGAACGAAAAAAAAAAAAAATAGTTAAAAGAAGTAAATTTGATAGACTTTTCTATCCATTTACAAATGCTAGCAGTATAAGGATTAGAAATAGTCCATGTTGATTGAGAGAGTGAAGTTCCACTTTAAAGAGCATTTATGGTTCCATCGAATCCGGCGTGGTCCTCTTCTCCCCCGCTGCTCTCCAGGCGCAGAGACATGGAGCTAAGACCAGGAGGCTTCATAGGATTACATAGGATAACTGGCAGCAGAGGGCAGCCCAACCCTCCAGTCATCTAAAATCCCTGGATAGTCTGGCAATGGAAAGTGATGATAATCTCCAGATACAGAGAGTGGTGTCCACGGTGTGCAATCTTTGCTGGTAAGTATTGAAAAACGATTGATCAGTAGGACTGGAACTGACCTCTAATGCTGACCAGTAGGACTGGAACTGACCTCTAATGCTGACCACTAGGACTGGAACTGACCTCTAATGTTGACCAGTAGAACTGGAACTGACCTCTAATGCTGACCAGTAGAACTGGAACTGACCTCTAATGCTGACCAGTAGGACTGGAACTGACCTCTAATGCCGACCAGTAGGACTGGAACTGACCTCTAATGCCGACCAGTAGGACTGGAACTGACCTCTAATGCTGACCAGTAGGACTGGAACTGACCTCTAATGCTGACCAGCAGGTCTGGAACTGACGTGTAATGCTGACCAGTAGTCTGGAACTGACCTCTAATGCTGACCAGCAGGTCTGGAACTGACCTGTAATGGCTGACCTCTAATGCTGACCAGCAGAACTTGAACTGACCTCTAACGCTGACCAGTAGGTCTAGAACTGACACTCGAAAGCTGACCAGTAGGTCTGGAACTGACCTCGAAAGCTGACCAGTAGAACTGGAACTGACCTCGAAACGCTGACCAGTAGAACTGGAACTGACCTCGAACGCTGACCAGTAGACCTGGAACTGACCTCGAAAGCTGACCAGTAGACCTGGAACTGACCTCGAAAGCTGACCAGTAGAACTGGAACTGACCTCGAAAGCTGACCAGTAGAACTGGAACTGACCTCGAAAGCTGACCAGTAGAACTGGAACTGACCTCGAAAGCTGACCAGTAGAACTGGAACTGACCTCGAACGCTGACCAGTAGAACTGGAACTGACCTCTAATGCTGTCTGCATCGTTTTGGCACACTTGTAATGAGATAGTTACATGATATGGGACCCCAGAAGAGCACAGAGATGGACGCACACAGGAGCAGTTGTTGCTTTTTCTGGACGCGAGGTTGCAGCTGATCTTTGTGAAAATAACCGCTAGAGATGGGAAGAAGCAACCCCCTACCTAAAATTATTTTTTGCTATTAAACATGTCCAGTAAAAAAAATCAAATTTCATCATAAATTTAGGGCAAAATGTATCCTGCTCCATGTCTTTGCTAAAAATCCCAATACGTGCAAATTAATTGGTTTACGTGAAAGTTCTAGCGTTTACAAATGGCGGTACATATACTGGGATTGTTTTGGGTTTTTTTTACTAGTAATGGCGGCGATCAGTGACTTATAGTGGGACCGTGGCGGACATTCTGACACTGGGGGGGGGGGGGGGGGGGGGGGGGGGACTGACTTGGTGTCACTGACATTCCCAGTGACACCAATACAGTGATCAGTGCTAAAAAAAAAAAAAAAAAAGCACTGTACTAATGGCACTGGGCAGGAAGGGGTTAACATGAGAGTGATCAAAGGGTTAACTGTGTACTGGGTGTGTTTTAATATAGGGCGGTGTCTGTGTGCTTCACTATAAGCACACTGCTCTGGATTGTGCTTGCACTCACCCAAAAATGGCTTACAGGGAGGAGAATTTAGTAAACAAAACAGTTCTCCCCGTCAGAGATCCTCGGCAATCAGCGGCCAGGACCTGGTGATTGACAGCTGCAAATGGTGGCGCGGGTAGTGGCGCACGCGCGCCCCCTACCTGGAAATGCAAAATCACGTATATATCTTTGCAAAGATAATCGATCGAGATGGAAAGGGGTAACCCCCTATCTAAAATGGGGGAAAAAAGGAAAGTTTTGGCTTTAGATGCTCCATTAACTGCATCCCTCCGCACCTGCTTAGACTCCTAGACTGTTTTTTGTTTTTATTCCCCCATTCAGTACTGGGAGCAGAGAGAATTGCCCAGTACTGGTATAGAGCAGCATGTAACTTGTCACATTAGGGCAGAAGGGGAATTCTAGGCCTTATGTGGGCTCTAAGCCCCAACTCCGAGTTCTGTCTGCTGTGGTTTGGCAATAAAGGTTAGTCAGCAGGCAGCCTCAGCCTTCCGATATGGGCAGCACACAATGATGTCTGCTCTCCACTGAAGATGGACCACCAGCATCGTGCAAAAACGAAAAAAAAAAAAAAAGTCCTGATTGGCAAAGAGTGCTTTTCCTCTGTCCCATGACTGCCCCTCAGCAGGGAAATGCAGGAGGTTGATACCATGACAGACTGAAGTATTCATATTAGCTTTTTTTTTTTTTTTTTTATGTCCATTGAGGGTCACAGTCGTATACTGGTGGGTTTTATTGCTGCCCGCCGGAGGATTCAACACTGACAAACGAAAAAAAAAAACGAAAAAATCTGTATGCCAGGATTACCCCCTCCCCCTTCCAGCATGCCTCCATTTTTTTTTTTTTTTTTCGTGTACTCGGTGGATGGACTTCATTTCCTTCAGTTCTGCTGGGAAGTCTATTATTTTTTGCTAGTCTTTTTTTTTTTTTCTCAAAACATTCCATTTATTATATCAAGATTTCCTCCTAGATCATTGCTTTAGCTTGTTTCTACATTCAAGCTCCGATTTGGTCTTTTCTCAGCTTAGTTTTGGATCGTTGTTATCCAGACCCCCCCAAAATCGATGCATAGGGCTAGCCTGGAAGTGACCTTTGGCCACTGGGTTCCATGGTACACACTGTACAGACCACATTTGGATAACAAGTTAGCCACAGATCGCTTTCCAAGTCCAGCGATACTGGCTTTGGCTCTGTGCTAGTCTCCGAAGGCTTTCTCTGTGTATAGGCCAGTCAAGGCTGAGTACTGGGAGCTACCTCTCTGCTTGCACTATTGGGTGCCTTTTGAATTTCCTGCTTTCCACTGTGAAAGGGGTTAACATCTGCAATCTTTATTGCCAGTCAGCCTCAGGGGAAGCATCAATTTTCTGCTGCTCCTGCTTTGCCAAGAGCCCCTTGGAACTGTGATCCCTGGTTTGTTCCTACTGCCTGCCTACCTTAGTCATCTCCAGCCTTCAGACCCTCATCAGCTTCCTAGGTTTGTGAATACCTGTGGCATGGCCTCGTACCCTGCGCTAGCGCCATCACTTTCATACAGTTGCAACATGTCTATACCTAGATACAGAGGATGCTGCAACCGATGACCCCAGCTCTTATTCTCCTATAGATCCCAGGGCTGCTTCCTCTGTGCACTTGAGGGCACTACTGAGCTCAGGAACAAAACAAAGGGGTTATTGGTGAAAAAAAAGGGGAAAGAAAGATATAAGCCGTCTACTATGATGCCAAATTATTAGTCCAGTTCAAGTACCTTCTTTGGCAACTTGGTCAGAAAAGCAAGAAACAACTCTAAAGCGGAGACAAAGGAGGGGAAAGAGACCAGAGCAAAGTGTAGCAGTAGAATTAACTTGTAATATGTTTAAAAGAAATACGCTCATAAAGGCCTGAAGAAGGGGTGCGTGCCACGTTCTCCATCAGGTCTGATTGTGATGTCACTTCCACCTGAGATATCGTTCCGCAGGAATCCCTGGGAGCCTCCAGCACTGTAGATCAGCTGGACTGCAGAATTCCACCACCAGGCAGACCAGGACCTTTGATGGCCGGGATTCACAGTAGTGCTACATACATTTTATCTTTACTTCCTTTGTGAGTGTATTTATTTAAACATTCAAAGTTAATTCTACTGCTACACTGAGCTGGCGCTGGTCTCTTCCCCCTACTGCCTTCAGATATCCTGCTAACCTATGTTTGTAGGGTCTACCTCATTAGCGCTTCCCTTTGATCCATCAGGTGAAGCTGAATCCCCGCCTTGTCTTCAGAGGCTTCTAGTCCAGTCACACATGACTGTGGCCAAATTTACCCAATTCCTCACTGGTGTCTGGATAAGGTAAGATTGGGCATCAGTAGAATCCCTCTTAGGGTTCATCACAGAGGTGCATACTGGTGAACGTGAGCCTAGCACAAAGCCTCAGGGTGGTTTCCATCTCACTAATCCTTGGTTAGGTTAGGCTACCTTCCATCTCCTGCCTACTCTTGTTGGAGTGCTTCCATGCATCTTAACCTTTTAAGTCATGCTGACTTCATGGGATTGAACTATGGATTCTCTAGGTTGACTAGAGCCCCCCACCCCCCCCACACACATCTTATTTGTTTCTAGCCCATCTCAAAGTTCTTCCCTGGTTAAACCCACTGTGGTAAGTTGGCTGTCTCTAGGCTTGGAATTGCTCATTTTTTGACCTGTATTGGGTTGGGCCAGTAGAAGTTCTAGGCCTCTCCATTTGGGCTGGTAGGTGCTCTTTGTTCAAGGTACTTTTTCCTAAGAGACTTGATCCTTTTTATTGTTGGTTGTCTTAGCTTGTGTTTTTTTTTCTTCCCCTTAAAAGATAGTTTTTACTGCCTCGTTTGAGTGGTGCTGATACTCACTTGGTCCATAGTTTTCTGCTCCCTTCCATTGTCATTCCTCTCTGGTTGATGAACATTTTTTTCATGGTCTTGAGCATCAGGTTGATCTGTGTTCCCCCCCCTCTGGTCCTGTTGCCAGGTCCTCATATCTGGCAGGGGGCTCAGCTTCATGTATCAGATTTGGGTGGCGGGTGCTTTTGGTGGCTCTTGGGTTGTAGTCCATTGTCTTTTGTTCAATGTGTTATTGGTTGCTGTTGCCCACTCCACACCTCAGCTGGACTGCTTTTGGACTATATATGACATCCTGTGTTCCTTGAGGGAGAAGGAAAAAAAAATAGAGGATCTTTATGCTCATCATAAAATCCTAGTCTTGAAGTTCTTTGAGGGACACAGGTCCCACCATTCTGTGTTCATGAGCAGTCTCTTAATATGACTTGTTGCAAGCCAAGGCATGCTGAAAAGGCGGATTCTCCTGGGCTAGTATGAAGGGCATTTTTGTTTGTCAGCGTCCAAAACCCACTGTAAATAAAAGTCTAAGATTTCCCATGCAATATCAATCTTTAATCTGAGATTTCCTCCACAGCACTTTATCACTAGATGTCCTTGAACTTCCAGCATCATTAAACCCACTTCTTCTGAACATTTGCAGTCATGGTCCCACCCCCCCCACCTGTGAAAAGAGAATCCGCACAGGGTTGAGCTCACCTTTATCACTCTGCTCTCTCCTCCTACTAGCATGCTCTTTATCAACACATGCACTGATTGGCTTGGTACCTCCCCCAGTCTAAGCCCTCCAAGATGCTCATACCAGTATTTACACTGCTTGCAGTTAAGACAAATTGTAGTCCTTAGTGCATATGAGAATGATAAGGCTGGTCCATTCTGTGCCACAAGCCCCAGGACTTTAAAAGCACTTTTTATTTCTACTAATGTTACACCCAAACACAAGACACGGGCAAATGTCATTTCCACATGCCATCTCTATTACTAAACTGTATGTAAAACTTCATGGCCTTCTCTGTGAACTGTATTTGTAATGAATGTAGTCCAGGTTCAGTTTGCACCAAGTAAAGTTCTCTTCACATAGCATGAGCAAGTTATAAATGTGTATTTTTCTAAATAATGTATTTTTTTTTTTTTTCTTTCTAATGTGCCTTCACCTGTGCCAAGTTCTAAAGGGTTCAACATAATAAATGATTCTGCAACACATTCCTGGCTCTGCTTGACTGTTGTGATAGGCAAGAATATACCGTATTGTTCGCTCCATAAGACACACCTAGATTGTAGAAGAGAAAAACAAGAAAAAAAATTCTGAACCAATGGACTGCAGACAGCGCCCAGGAGATGACCAGAGACTGCGGACACGGCCCAGGAGAAGACCAGAGACTGCAGACATACAATAGATGACCACAGACACGGTACAGGAGATGACCGGAGTCTGCGGACACGGTACAGATGACCAGAGACTGCGGAACAGGGGTTTGACAGTAATCCACTCCCACAAAGTTGTCCTCCCCATAGTCTTCTGGGATACATGACAGGTCCCAGAAGACTATGGGGCCATTCAGGAAGCACAGCGTTACTTGCGCATACGCAGTGGGCACCCAGCTATGAAGCCGCAAGCTGTCACAGCCGGGTGCCCACACTGAAGATGCCGGCACCTGGAACACCAGACGGCTGGTGAAACGGGCTGCAGGGAAGACACCACAGGATCGTGAGACAGGTAAGTGGCTGTTTTTTTCAGTTACAGTTTTTGTAGCTGCTTATTTCCAGTGTGAGTGAAACTCCGCTTTAATGTAAAGTAATAATTACTTTGAGTCAGTTTTTTCTTTAGTAAACAATTTCAAGATCAAATCAATATTTTGATCTCTTGCCTCTAAATGGTGTGGGGCCCCTAGGCTGCTGTCTACTCTATTTGGTAATCTGGCCCTGCCATTAATAGGCAGTTGCTCCCCTTTGTGGTTATAACATTCTTCCAGGAAAGCTTTCCACAAGATTTTGTAGGGTGCTTTAGGAATTTGTACCCGTTTGCAGAATAGAGTAGGACTGGCCAAAAGGGATTACTTTGATGTATTGTGTGAACTAAAAATCTCTTTTTTCTGCAAAATTTGCTGGAAAGGGTACATAGAAGTGTGCAGGGGGTTCCTTCAGAATTTTTAGTGGCAATGGTAACCTTCAGCACTGCATAGCCTTGCCAAATACATAGAAGTCTGCTAGACAGATTTATTTAAAGCAGAACTAAAAACTATATCTCATCACCACAAACTGAACATTTTTAACCTCTTCACGCCGACCGCACACAAATGTGCAGCCTCCTGGCGTCTGGGCCTAGACACCGAGCGGCCGCACATTTGTGTTCTATTAAAAAAAAAAAAAGACATATGTGCCGAGAGCGCACGCCCTGTGCACTCCCAACACACGTCTGGTACGGAAAGGTCCCAATCTCTTTCGATCAGGACCTTTCCCGATTATGTGACTGCCGTGACGGTGCATCACATGACCCTAAACCCCGCCTCCCGACTTCTAGCACCCTTAAAGGGCAGGAAGGTGCCAGTATGAAGGGGTTAATTCATGTTAATATTCAAAAGCAAGCTCACCAATCTCCATACCTTATTTTAAGAAATCACTTTAAAGCCAGCTGCTGGTCATACTTCTGGGTGGATCCTGACCTAAAGTTGGGATCGCTCCAAAGCCTGGACAGACTAAGTGACGTCAAGCAACAGAGGACTTTAGCCTGCTGTCAGCTAAAAACAGGTCAAAGGAGTTCAGAACAAAGTGCACTCCTGTGATCTAAAGAAGGCCAAGAGTTTTGGCCCTACCTCTCCTTTAACCACTTCAAGTCAGGACACTTTCACCCCCTTCCAGTCCAGGCCAATATTCAGTGCTATCACACTTTGAATGACAATTGTGCGGTCATGCAACACTGTACCTATATGATTTTTTTTGAGACAGATGAAACTTTATTTATTTTGGTGGTATTTACCACTGGGATTTTTAGCTATATAAATGAAAGTCAAAAAAAACTTTGAAGTGTCTTATTTCATAAATCTTGGCCAAAATGTATTCATCCATCTCTAGTAAAAAAAAAAAAACAAAAAAATTAGTTTACAACCAAAAATTCTCATTTTTACTTTTATTTGTTTTTAAGTCACCCTAGCAGTACAGTGTCACCATGACATGACACTGTAGATTTGTTTTTTTTTTTTTACACTGATTTCATTTCAGCCTTTATGGGTGTAAAAGCAATCATTTCCCCTTCTCTCTGGCTGCATTCCTGCAACCATTGAGAAATACTGTGTGAGCTGTGATTGGTCACAGCTTGTCACATGGTACAAGACTGTTGTGAATAGCCCTGTATCATGTGACCTCTGATCATTCACATATTTCACAAGTAGTAAGCAATGTCAGGAAGTGGCCCAATCGGTGATCACATGAGTCGGGACCTCACACAGAGGTCCCGTACAGCGATCTATGTCCGGACGCAGCAAACACTGATCGGGGTGCAGTACGCTCCCAGGCAATTTATGCAGGGGGGTCATTTAGAAACGTCCACCCACATCAGCAGTGCTCCCGTCTGGCTGTTTATTGGCAAGGGCCGGATGGGAAGAGGTTGAGCTGTGCAAAGACAGTATCCTATGTAAGCAATGTGATTTGACAACAGGTAGACAAACCAACCTCTTAGAATTTACCCGTTTACTATAAAGCACAATATCATTGCTACAATTTAAGAATTTCATAGTTACAACACAAGAAATTTTATTTTCATTTTTCTCTTTCAGAAAGCAATGGCACAATTCTCCACTGAAACAGTCACATTCAGAGGTCTCATTTAAAAAAAATCACTTTCATGGTGTGAACAGGAATTGAGGAGTCAAATTCTTAGAAGACAGAGTTCAAATAATTTACTGATAAAAGGGGAAGGAGGGGCATTTTGCCAGAAAAACCTCATTCAATGTAACAGAATGTAAACGTTGCAGCACAACCAATCCTTATTGCATCTCGCCAGATGCGATCATATACAGAAATTAGAGTGCCACTTTAAAGGGAGCTCTGTTTAAAAGAAAAAAAAAAAAAAAACCCAAATACACATGATAATGTCTTTTTTTTTTGGGTAATTGTAGATTACTCAGTGCCTTTCGTGTTCAATGCATGCGTTGTAAAAACAAGTGCTTGCAGCCAATCCCTTTGCAGCGCCTCAGTAGTCATCCTCTTCGTCAGAGTCCATCACTTTCCTTCTGTTAAACTGAAAGAAGAAAAAAAAAAAGGCAGTCTATAGATTACTCTGAGTTCACACTGTAAAACAGGCTGCTTACCATAACCCAACCCCCCCCCCCCCCCCCCAACAAACACTCACACCTAGTTGAAGCATCTGACAGACTATTCTACCAAAAGCATTCAATTGCTCACTAAGGGCCTCATTTATAAACTCAAGCACTGGCATTCAGCACCCAATCGTCTAAGGCTGGCCATAGATTATACAATTGAGATTTTTGGTTTAGATTTACCAAAAACCATATAATATGTGGTCAAACCTAACAACGCTTTCAATTGTATCCAATTAGGCAGGCTCTTGCACTACATAGTTGAAGGTAAATCTAAAGGAAATTGGACAGAAAATTGTATAGTGTATGGCCAGCCTTAGGATGACCCGATTTAGGGCTTGGGAAGAGCAGACCCCATACTACTGCCAAGGCCCCATTTGTAAAACCTAAAAGGAAAACCACAACCTAAAAAGGAAACTTCACTCTGTCAACATTGACCATTTAAAATCTTTATGCTGCTAGGATTAGTAAATAGATAGGAAAGTGTATTATAGTGACTTGAATTAATTTTTTTTTTTTTTTACATTTCTTCAGTCACTTCCTGGTTTCCAAAGCCTAGTCAACTGATGTCATATCCCTGGAGTCTCGAGGGGGGATTCTCAGCTAAGCACACCCTCCTGCCTTCATGCCTCAACTAAGGGCAGATGAATTCCAGTAAGTAAATACGACATGAGTTGTCTGCCCTTATGCAAGATGGCCAGAAATGCTAGGGTTTTTCAAAGCAATTTGCCACCATAATAAAGCATGTAGACATGGATGGATAGAGAGGGAAGTTTACGGAGCCTGGATTCACATTATATGCGGTACATTGCATGTGATTCGCACAGGAACTGCACCGCATTCCTGTGCAAATTACATGCAGTTTGTGTGTGGTGCGATTGAAGCCATACATCTTATATGGCTCTATGTGCACGTGCACCAAAAACATGCAGGACCCTTTTTTTGGGTCCGCACTAGAATCGGATCGCATGGGTATTCACACCTACCTGATCCAATTCTGCACATCGCACCCGCGTTTTGCGGACCGCTTTCGGGGTGTTAACATGCGCACCTGTAGCGGTTCGCATGAACGGGGTGCGATTCTGATACGTTGCAGAATTCGCACTGAAAATGCATCAGTGTGAACCAGGGCGGAATATCAAAAATGAATTTAAAAAACATTTTTGGTGCTCAGATGTAGTGTAGCTCCACTTTAAAAAAGAATGAGCTCTATCCTTCAAAGCAAGTGGAGAGCTATTCAATCCAGTAAATGGGGGGGTGGGGGGGGGGGGGGGGGGCCCAGGAGAAGAGCACATGACCTGTCAGTCATGTGACAAAAGAAACCTCTCCTCCAATCATATACTTTCCTGCATTTTAGAACTGACAAATTGCAGAAGCGACATGTAAACACAGCAGGGCTGGCACCTCTACAAGACATCATGGCACTTCAATAGTACAGGGCTATGCAAGCTTTAAAGAGAAACTCCACCCTGGGGAAAGCACGAAACGTTTCACTTGCGATCCGTCTTTTGAAAATATTAGCCGCTTGTCCGTCAAGTTTATTATCTTGCTTCAGCACTTTGATATAGTGACCTAGAGCAAGTCTACAGCAAGTGACTGCCATCTGTGTTCCAGCTCAGGGACCCAGAGCTCAGAATGGCAGTCGGGCAGTTAGCAGGTTTAGAAGCAGCCATGGTAGCCTCTTATGATAAGTTTCCTTCAGTGTGAAATGAAGCACCGGCAACAGATGCATGGAGTCTGTGTGAGAAGTGTGTGGTCCCCCCCTCCTCCCCCCAGTGTTCATTTATCAAAACACCGCTAAATAGAGGTCAGGGGAAAGCAGAACCGGCCCTCCGCTACTCACCTTTACCGTTGTCTTCTTCTCAGTCTGTTTACTCACTTTTTCCAGAATCTCTATTAGACCCTCTTCAGATAACTGGAAGCAAAGACAAAATACATCCGAAAATTACATGATAATGGAGAGAAAAAATAAATAAAGCAAAAGATTACAATGCATGAACAATGAGGAAACAGATCACACTAGACTTTTATTCTGTTTATTGAAAGTTATATAAAGAACAGTACAACTTCCCGAGGATGCAGGGAATCCATCGTAGGTTGCCTCCACCCAGGGAGGATCAGGGGAGGGCTGCCCCTAGAACAGTGAACACCAAACTGCAGCCCTTTGCTTGCCTTAACCAGCTCCCAACCGCGCTATAGCCAAAGGACGGTTACAGCACGGTTGTATGGTTCTGGGACGAAGTCCATGGACGAAATGTCAGAACACGCCCCCAGCAGGCGCCGCCGGTGATCGCTGTGTCCTACGGACACAGCTGATCACGTCATGGTAAACAGCCAATCACGGCGGCCTTTTACCATGTGATCAGCTGTGTAAACACAGTTGCCGG